TGTGTGTGTGTGTGTGTGTGTGTGTGTGTGTACCAAGTTTATGTTCACTGTCTTTGAGAGAGTCTAGTCTCGTTTAAGTGGATGTGGCAATATAATGGTAAGACTCCTCTGGATATATAATCGATGTAAATATTACATGCTGTGATATTATGATCAGAAGTATAGAATTTTTTTCACAAGAAGTTTCATAATGTTGTTGGTGCTGTGTTATTCTTTTTTTCACCCAATTTTGATTGAAACTGGAAATGTTTACTTGTACTGAATTTTAAAGACAGTTTAGTCCTGCTCCTCTTTTCCATTATAACCTGCATGCTAATCCAGCACGGTCACAGATAAGCAAATGTTTCAGTGGCGAAACCTTAGTTTACCGTTCACTTGATGTCTTTTGTTGTGGACAATGACCTTCTCTGTACGGCTTTGCAAAGTTAGCTGTTGACAGAAGTCAGAATCCCCTCTTGTTTATAAACCACGATGAACTCTGGTAACTCCACAGCAGCTCTCGTTCATGTTTATCCGAAACAGCAAATACCCGTGTCGCTCCAAATTTATTTTTGAAGGTGTTCACTGTTGCCATAGAGACCCCTTGATAACCCACACCATTGCTGCCATCACCAAGACTTTGATATCTATTTTGGGAATATTTTTACTGGCTGCTGGAGCATTCTGGTATCTAAGCCATGGGAAGTGTGTTAACAGTTTAAATACCCACCATCATGAATTTGTCATAGATCTATACAAGATCATCCTAATCACTAATCGAGTTATACTCATTGTGAGTTTATATAGTAATTATGGTGTGTAGCTCTTAACCTATTCTAAGATTGAAGTATTTTATTTGCTTACATGGTTTCTGCACGTCTTAAGTCTAAAATGTGTTAAAATATTATGTACTAGGTCGCAAATACATTAAGTTAATTATCAGCAGCTAGGCTATTAACTGCAAATATGATCACATCACATCTGTTTGATAGTTTTTACATTGGCTCCCAGTTTGTTTCTGGATTGATTTTTAAGATTTGATTGATAATTAAGACTCTTCATGGTCTGACCCCAGACTGTCATATCTTTTAATTCCCTATTTTCATCTGTGCAGCTTTTGATCTTTGGGGAAAGGTCTGCTGTCACTTTCTGAATCTAGGCTGAAAACCGGGTGGGATCAGAGGGTTCACCATCAGGGTCCATGCCTGAGAAAAGAAGGCTGTCTGAGACGGTGTCATCTTTTAAATCTCAGCTAAAAACATACTTTTTTTGGGAAGACAAACTATACTATAATACTAAAACAGGCTATTTTGGTGTTTTAGCTATATTATTGTTATTACCACCATGTCTTATCTTCTCTTCAATATTAAGTATTATCACACCACAAACCAGAGCAACGTGGAACTGATAACTTTGTCTACAAACAACCTCCTTATCTTTAATAACGGGGAAGTATAAAAACTTCTGGGAAACCTTCCTGGCTGTACTAAACCTTGTCTTGAATTTCACTATGTTCATAAATAGATCTTAGATTTCAATAGTTTCAATTGACTTATTTTTAATGATTGTCATTACATACTATAAATTCCTTTCAAATCAACACCAGTTCTCGGATAACGTCGTGGGGTTGAAGGAGTGCCCTGTCCCACCATGCCTCCTCTCTGCGTGCTCTATAAAAAGACACGAGCAGGTGTGTTGGATGCCAAGTGCAGTGTTGGAGGATGGCTTAATATAGGTTTTGCCTGAGAGCACTTTTACTGTTTTGATTAATGGCAGTTTGAAAGTGGTTGTAATGGTGTTGTGAGGGTCAAGTTTGATGCAGCTCCAAAAGGATAAATGCTCGCCTCTGCGCTCATGTGAACTGCACCATAATTCAGGTTTTTCCAGAGGAGGGGTCTGAAAGGAGATGTGTAGTTGACATACCTCTCTCTGCCCCGGCTGCCGGCTCGCTGTCATCTGTATGACTTACATTCTCGAGTTTAATGACCTTCCGTAGCCGGACTTGAAGGGAGGATTACACTTCAGCGTCACTGGAATGCCTGAAGGCCACTCCCATTTCGTTGCCCTTCTCTGACACATGCTCGCTCAAACACGTACGGTATATAATGTTGTGACATCAGCGGGAGCGGCCCGGTGTCATGCTCCTCATGTTGTCATGTAAAGATATTCACTTTAAAATGATTTCAAACAGAAAAAGCTGCAAATCTTCTCACTATTTAGTTTTGTCAGTATTTGCTTTAAAAATTCTAATCCTCTGTCAGATGAATGATAGATTTTAAAGGATGTAATTTAAAAACATTAAACCTTTTTCCACAATCATGCAGTTGGACTTATCTGGAATTATTAGTGTTTTAGTCTGTTAAATCTTGTGACATTTAGCTTTTTTACATTTAAATCATATTTAGTTTCCCTATTTGGGAAAAATAGTTTATTCCTTTGACTCCCACTTGCCTTCAGTGACCTTGACACAGTCTCCGCCTTAAACATCCTCATCTTGCTCCATCCTGCGACGCACCCCCATGTTTTTTTCTTTCTCTTTGAGACATTTCTGTGTCTGTCATCTGAACGGAATGCAGACGTGAGAACGGTTGCCATGGGAACACATTTCAGACAGCGACGGAGTCGGGGCTTTGCTGTTTCTTATATCTGATCCTCAGACTGCGTTTTTGTGAGAGACGCTAGAGTCTGCAGCATATCGTGAGCATGCATACTAACCATCCATCAAGCAGCTAATATTAAGAAAGAGTGTGTGTATATTTAGATCTGACTGCTTGCCAACTGTTTGTGTTCAGTCGGCTCATCCCTTCCTGCTCCAATAACCTTCAGACTGTAGAAATATGACCTACAGTACATAGGATTATAATACATGTGCTGACTAGGGAGCAAATACGCAAAATATACATATACATATATCATAAAACATGTTTAGAACCCATTGTAAAACACAGAAGGACGACAGCACAATATGAAAAAGGAACTGAAAAATAAACCCATTTAACCACCTTAGTCTTTCTTCCTTTAGGAATCACCAACAGAACTATTATAAGCTATAGCATCTCAGTAGCTGTGGTGTAGCTGCTTGGTAGTTGTGAGAAGTCTATCTTTACAGAGGATTTCATTTCATCCCTTTGTTCTATTGTTATTCTAAGTGTTCTTCTTTGTCATCATCCCTCAGGGAGCGTTTGGAGCCCTGCAGAAGATCTGTGAAGACTCTGCTGAGATCCTGGACAGTGACATGCTGGATCGTCCTCTCAACGTCATGATCCCCAAGTTCCTACAGTTTTTTAAGCACAACAGTCCGAAGATCAGGTATAAACAAAAAATTCTAATGCTTTCCATCTACCTACTAATTCTGTCTAGTGTCTGTATGTGGAATGCATATCTTGCGAACCATTCAGCTAATCAGCTTCAGACATATGCACTGTAAATTGCCAGAGGAAGTGCAGCGCAGAGTGTGGTGCCATTCGGATGTTCAGTGTTAATAAAAATTAGATGGGCAACCCAGAAATCAGTGGGGGGGTGCAGTGTGCCTATAGTCAGTGGACAGCGTTGAGCATGTCTTCTTCTATGTCCACTGATAAACTACAGCAGAAGTCTTCAACTGGGTCAAAACTCTGCACACAACGTCCAGCACACAAAGAATAAACAGTGACAGTATAGTGCAGAACTGTTTGAGGAGGAAGCACCAATCACCAGGAATAATTCTGAAGTAGCTCCGCAGCATTAACACGAGACAATCAAACAGCCCATTCCAAACAGGCACGTTTAGCACAGCTACTGTGATAGTTTTGTTTAAATGTCATTTTTACTGTCAGTCATCACCATCCAATGGAGGTTAATTAATTTTCATTGAGTATGTTAACATATTCCTTTCGCTATAGTGATATATTATATTCATGATGCATGATTATCAGTCCATTGTTCTGCTACAAGAGTACTACTACAAGATGCTCTTGAACAGATCTGCTAGTGAGTATATTTTATGCAGCAGATTAATTTAATCACACATGTACAGTTCATACACAAACTAGATTAAAGGTCTTTGTAAATGTACAGTTGAATCTCTGTTCGCTGTGGAAAAGACCTCCTCATATTTGAAGCTTGAATTAGTGTCACTGGAGCAAAGAAGAAGACAGAGGCTGCATTCATAGCGTGCAACATGTGAGGTAAAATTGTTGGTGTGCTCTAAAGTGGTGGTTATTGTATTACAGGTCTCATGCCATCGCCTGCGTCAATCAGTTCATCATCAGCAGGACCCAGGCTCTCATGCTACACATCGACTCTTTCATCGAGGCAAGTCTGACTGTTATTTATCTGTTGCTATATTTACACAATGCAGACAAACTGCTTCTCATCCTGTTTTGGTAATTAACAGCTCATACTCAGACAATTTGTCTGCAGTTTACCTCTCAGCTAGTTGCGTCATACAGCCACTCGTGCCTGTTCCAAGCTGTATGCAAATTATTAATCTCCGTTAGAGATTTGAAAGACAAAACATATCTTTAAAACAGTGAAATGTATTTTTTTTTTTGTCAGGGTTAAAGCAGGCACTGTTAGATACTATGTTGTTATTATAGGAACTTTTGGTTGAAATCTGTAAACATGTAAACATGTATCCTAACATGTAAACTATTCTTAAAACTATCCTGATCCTCTGAGATCAGCTGCTGAGATATTATAACAATGACAAATGGACACAGTATATCTACACTATATCAAACTACTAGTAAGCATTATAAGTGCAAAATACAAAACACTTGATAAGAACTTAGCATAAGATAAATATCTGCATGTGGATATAAAGGGATATCTTACCATATAGACTTTTACACTGTTCCATTTGTTCCAGAACACAGTTTGTTACTCACATGTAATACAAATGACAGCTTCACTGTTGTTGATGTTATTATTGTTATTATTTGTTGTTGTGGTAGCTGTTGTTTCACACACTTCACTTTTTGACCCTTTTATTGTCATATAGAACCTGTTTGCACTGGCAACAGATGAGGAACCAGAAGTGAGGAAGAACGTGTGCAGAGCTCTGGTCATGCTGCTTGAGGTCCGCCTGGACCGTCTCCTGCCTCACATGCATAACATAATCGAGGTGAGTGAGACTGGGACTGAATGAGAGTCCAACATTGGTATTTTAAGGATAATTTTCTGTATTTATTGAAAATATTTAGATATTTTTACTACTAACATAACTTCTCATTAAAGACCAAATGATAACCAATAATAATGAACTGATACTACTAACATACAGTTAGTAGTATCAAGCCAAACGTATGTAATCCTGAATTAATTTTCTCTTAATTTAATCTCAGTACATGCTACTGAGGACTCAGGACCAAGATGAAAATGTTGCCCTGGAGGCCTGTGAGTTCTGGCTTACTCTGGCGGAGCAGCCAGTGTGTAAGGAAGTGCTGTGTGGACACCTTTCCCAGTAAGATTACACACACACACACACACACACACACACACACACACACACACACACACACACACACACACACACACCTACACCTACTGATAATACACACAGTGACACTCTAATACTAATATCGAAAGCTGTTGATTCATAGTAGCCTTGGCAGTTTCTATCTGAAGACCTTGTCAGGACGGCTGATTAAGAACCTTGGCTGTTGACCTCAGCTGTAACATCTGTCACCACACTGCTACATTAAACTGTACCACAGCACAAATCAGATGTGAGTGATTACGTATGGCCTCCAACCTATCCTTGCCCTTTGTTCTCATAATGTTTCCTTCTGGTGTCCACTCCAGGCTCACTCCGGTGCTTGTCAACGGGATGAAGTACTCTGAGATTGACATCATCCTGCTCAAGGTCAGTTTATATAGCCTGGTATTTGTACCTGTATAGGAAACATGATGAATTGGCCCATCACTCAGGATGACACATATTCAATTAAGTTGTTTGTGTGACTGTTTTTTGTACAAATACAAAGGTTTTATATATTTCACTGCAAACATTTTTAGAATGATAAAATACAAACCTGATGGCTGTGAACAATCAGACTGAACTTCTTTGGTGGTCATGATTGTTTTTTGCACTTCCTCATCAGGGCGACATTGAGGAAGACGAAGCGATTCCCGACAATGAGCAGGACATCAGACCACGCTTCCACCGGTCACGCACAGTTGCCCAGCAGCATGAGGGTGACGGGATCGAGGAAGAGGACGATGACGATGACGAACTGGATGATGATGACACAATTTCTGACTGGAACCTGCGTGAGTGTCTGTGCACTGGGAACTGTCTGCATCTCTGTCAGCCTTTTGTTTCCTTACAGATTATAAACTGTCTCTTAAACGGTCTCCCTTCTTTTTCGTGTATTGATAACTTGTTTTTTGTATGTCTGTACCCGTGTTGTCTGTATGATGTTTGTCCACTTCTGTGTTTTTGTGTATGTCTTTCTTCTTTTCTTCAAACATTAGGTAAGTGTTCAGCAGCAGCGTTGGACGTGTTGGCCAACGTGTTCAGGGATGATCTGTTGCTGCACATTCTTCCACTTCTCAAAGAGCTGCTCTTCCATCCAGAGTGGGTGGTGAAAGAGTCCGGCATCCTTGTGCTGGGTGCCATAGCTGAAGGTAAGTTGAGAAGAAAGAGAGGAAGGAAAGAGTTGGAGACAAATCACAGGGAGTGAAGTCCCCCTCAGAATATGGAATCAGCCTGAGTTGACACTGTTTTCATCCCTGTCTCCAGGCTGTATGCAGGGCATGATCCCATACCTGCCTGAGCTCATCCCCCATCTCGTCCAGTGTTTGTCTGACAAGAAGGCCCTGGTCCGTTCAATCACCTGCTGGACACTGAGCCGCTACGCCCACTGGGTTGTCAGCCAGCCCCCAGATGACTACCTGAAGCCCCTGATGACAGAGCTGCTCAAACGTATTCTGGACAGCAACAAGCGTGTGCAGGAGGCTGCTTGCAGGTAAACCCATGTTGTAATGCCAAATATCATCCCTGTACTGCTTTGTGATTGTTGCACATTTGTCCTTTTGGGAGTCAGAAATACACACAGATTTGTATTAATATTACTACATATAATATATTATAATACTTACAGTGTTTTCTTCCTTTTCCACTTCTCTCCACTCTCCTGACCAGTGCCTTTGCCACTCTGGAGGAGGAGGCCTGTACAGAGCTGGTGCCCTACCTGGCATTCATCCTGGACACGCTGGTGTTCGCTTTCAGCAAGTACCAGCACAAAAATCTGCTTATTCTTTATGACGCCATAGGAACTTTGGCAGACTCAGTGGGACATCATCTGAACAAACCCGTATGTAGAACAGAAAGATGGACTCTGTTTCACTTCACTTTTCTGTGTGATTGTAAAATTAGCACGTTAACACTTTTTATTCCCTCTTCCTCATTTTACTTTTGTAGTAGTGGAAAGTGCACTTTCAGTTGTTAAGTGAAGTCATACCCAGCAGAGAAACAATTGACCCCCTCCCCATGCTTTCTATATCTATTTGTTTGAATGTATGGGTGAATACCTTAATGCCTGTAATTATCATCCTCACTTCTTATTGTCACACAGTGTATATGTGAAGACTATTTTAATCTGTCATTTATTAGGAGTACATCCAGATGTTGATGCCTCCACTGATCCAGAAATGGAACCAGCTGAAAGATGAAGACAAAGATCTCTTCCCTTTATTAGAAGTGAGTTTCTAATGTGCACACACTGCCTGTGTCATTGGTGTTAGTCCTGTGATGTTAACAGCTAATGGTTTAATCATTTCCTCAGTGTCTGTCGTCAGTAGCCACGGCCCTGCAGAGTGGCTTCCTGCCCTACTGTGAGCCTGTGTACCAGCGCTGTGTAAACCTGGTCCAAAAAACCCTCGCTCAAGCCATGGTGAGAGCACAGGTCCCTTAAATGTGTAGATACACACACATGCATACACTCAGAAGGATGTCGGCACAATTTGTTCCGGACTTTCACACATGAACAATGCGAGAGATTCTCCTCTCAGACACTTTCACAACAACACAGAAATCCCTGCAGTGTTCAAGTGAGGGATGGTGCAGCAGACAGAGGCAGGAGGAGATCACTCCTTTTAATTACAGCACACTGACACCAGCTTCAGCTCTTATTACCAAAAGCTCTCATGACATCTTCTTGTGACTGGCAGCTTGAAACTCTAAAATCCGGAGCCTCTCACTTGGACATTACAGCCCCTCCGGATAATGTCAGGAGATTATCTGGAGTTCGGCGCATGTCCTAAATCAGCTTTAGTCGTTATCTGTACAAATCACTTTCAGTTCATTCGTCAGGTGGACATAAACATGAATACAAATGAATTCTGATGTTACTCTGTCTGCTGGAGATGTGAGTAGGTAATTATTTATTTTCACTATGAGGATATCAATATTTATAAGGTCAGAATAGGTCATCATCATCCATAACTCCAGACCTTGATTTCATAATAATTATAAAAAGATTTAACTTGAACCCTCACCCTCTTTTCTATGTTGTAGCTTCACCAGTCACAGCCTGACCAGTATGAGGCCCCTGACAAAGATTTCATGATTGTGGCTTTGGATCTTCTCAGTGGACTTGCTGAGGGTTTGGGAGGCACCATTGAGGAGCTAGTTGCTCGCAGCAACATCCTCACTCTCATGTATCAGTGCATGCAGGTGAGGAGCTGTCACAGTGCATTAACATGTCACTCACCTGATGGACTGATACAGTCACCTCGATTGTTAAACCTTTTGTTGTCCACTCCATCTGTTCAGGACAAAATGCCCGAAGTGCGTCAGAGTTCGTTTGCTCTGCTGGGGGATCTGACCAAGGCTTGTTTCCAGCACGTCAAACCCTGCATCGGTACGTTCTGTGCAACTGATTCTGAAACAGTGTTTGGCAATACGTTTTTTAGTTTGTCACTAAGTTTACTTGCTCTCCTTCTTCCAGCTGATTTTATGCCCATACTGGGCACTAATTTAAACCCAGAGTTAATATCAGTGTGCAACAATGCGACATGGGCGATCGGAGAGATATCTATACAAATGGGTAAGTGCCTTAATATATTATTTTGTCCTATACATTGTGTTATGCACATACAATCATCAGAGTGCGTGGTCGACAGATTTCTGTCCGTCATTGCTTATCCGTTCTCCACTCATAGGGCCTGAAATGCAGCCATACATTGCCATGGTGCTGCACCAGCTGGTGGAGATCATTAACAGGCCCAATACCCCAAAGACTCTGCTGGAAAACACAGGTACCACTCGGTGGCGGTGCTGAGCTAGCCAGCCAGCTCACCACATGCACAGGGAGGTGCTCACACACTCAGATCCATTCAGCCAGGATTCACCACACTCACTACTGTGCCTGTCTTGCCCTTCCCAAGCCCTGAGCCTTACAGGTTTTGCTGGTTTCACCAAAGTACAGAATGTAAAATATTTAATCTGCTGATTTGCAACCTGGCAGTGCTGTCCCTGCAAACAGGGATCTAAGTTAATGAAACCCTGGGCAAGCCCTGGTGGGAAATTCTGGACAATCTTGAATCGAGCGAGCCGTGTAAGTGCCCGGTCTTGGGATGAACTAATGTGGCTGACTGTGCACCATCGGGTGAGGTAGAATATCGTAACAACAGAAGGTAAAGCACAGGCAGTGTGTGAGATACATAGATAAGTGAGTTCCCAGCCTTACACAGTTAACTGTTAGCACAAGACTTCAGACAATATTTACCCAACACTTTAACAGTAACTACTCGTGAATGATCGCGAGAACACTTGAACTGGCTAAATGTAGGGCACCTAGCCTAGAGCATTCTTCTAAAAAGGGTTACACTCCTCTCTTGTTTTTACTAATTGGAAATTATAATGTGATGAGTCAGAGATCGTTGAGAAAAAGATTCAAGGGTGAAGTGTAACCTGCCAAAATAAAAGAACTAGGGACTCTGTAGATGTGTTCCTGTTTGTTTGCTGTCAGTTTATTTGTTGCTTTTATTTACTGTTCTTTAAATGTTGATGCATATCTGCCAATAGATGTTAAGTGTTGTTAAGAATGGCCAATGTTTGATGCAGGATACATGATAACGCTGACAGCACTGTCACGCAAGTCTAGTTTTATAAGAACTTATCTGACCCAGTGAATGTTTTCACATAGGGGTGGGCGGTATACCGGCGACATTGTCATCACCAGTGTGATAGGGCACCATGACATGGATTGTGTAATATCGTCTTCACTGTGATAAATCAACACCCTAATTATATTAGAAAGTAAAACACAATCACTATTTCAGCTGTATCGTAGCGTCTAAGCTTTGAGAGATTAGTGGAGTGTCGGATCTAGACGGAGACACAGAGGTAGCCCCGGGTGAGGAAACTCTGTTGACTCAGTTTCCAGTCACAGGGTTTCAGTACATTTTTACTGTCGATGCTTCAGGACTAAGGCAGGCGTGCCCGGTTGCCTTATGCTGTGCCGGAGTGTCTCGATTGAAGTTCCTCCCTCCACACTCCCACTCACATTGGAAAACAAAAAGTATGCAGCATGCAGTTAACCTGCCACACTGATCTGACACCATTCCGATACAGATACAGTGATATTAATGTTAGGTCATATCGCCCATCCCTACTTTCGACTATTGTTGCTTGTTTTCAATGTAGAAGATTGAAAACACGACAGTGAAGCCAAATGATACAAATGAATGAACAAAATCTTGTGTTTTGGCCATGTTTAAATCTAACGTTTGTTTCTTTAGAGATCTGTGACAACCAGTTTTATGAGTGAAATCTGGTTTAAAAAGCCACGTAAGACCACAGGTAGGAGTGGGTGTGGCGATAAATTGACAGCACTTGTCATTTTGACTGTGATCAGCTGATCCTGCACTGAACTGTACTCTAATGAGCATACCATCTGCTTTCTGCATGTGTCATTGGACTGTTCATAAATGCCTGTTTGTTAATGAGAATGTTGCATAGTTTTGTGTCTCTTAAACTTAGGTCCTCCCTCCTCTCTGCCTCATAAGAACCTGCTGTGCTGGATACTAGTCTCCCTCCATGTAGTTGGCTTGGAGTAATCTGTCATTTCTTTTCAAATGAACAAGAAAAAAAACAACATTTCTGTTTCTTATGGAAAATTAACATTTGTGAGTTTAAGGGAGAAATTTCTCATGTGAACTGCTGTTGTTTCTGCCAGTCACATACACATGCTACACCTTAGCGAGCCTGTGTCGTAATTGTCAGACCTACATTTTAAATCAAGCTAATTGATTTGGAATCAGTTTCCTCCTAGATTACACAATCTGTTTGAGCCATATGATTTCTGAAAGCAGATGACATTGTTTGCCTTTTTCTATGAATGTCCTGTCAAAGCTGTCAATGTGTTCTCCCTTAAACGTGTTGTATGTTTTTTTTAGAGTGTCATATTTTACATTCCTCCCCGTGACTGACGGGCAGTAATAATCGACACCAGTGAAATCTTCTGTTTATTCTCATACACAGATTCTGTTGATTTATGTCTCTGAGTTGTTTGTTTTTTCTTTATTTTTCTCCTCCCCCTCCTCATTGCTCATGTCTTGGTTGGCGTTTGGTGGTGTGTAACCGTGATTGCGTTACCTTAGCAATAACAATTGGTCGTCTTGGTTACGTTTGTCCTCAAGAGGTGGCACCCATGCTACAGCAGTTTATAAGACCCTGGTGTGTATTATTCAATCTTTTATTTAATTCATCTTCTCTCTCCTTTCCTCCGATCTCCTCGCTGTCTCCTGTTGCTCTCCTCTTCTCCCCTGTTGCTCTCCTTCTCTCTTCACTTTCCTTCTCAAAAGAAGTCTTTTCTGTTGTTTTTTTTTTCTCTTTTTATTTGTTATCAGTTCGTAATCATTGCCAACCATGTGACTAACCCTGTCCTCTTTTAGGTCCTACATGTGATTTTGTTTTTGCCTCAGTAGCACCTTCATGTATTACACTTTGATTTGTTTAGTTTTAAGGGTTTTTTTTGTCATCGTTAACTGTTGCTAACAACCTAAAAGATGCATGGGATCAGATTTGTCACATGCCTGCTGGTTCAACAACATGAGAAAGGATGCAAAAAAGCAAATCCTAAATCCCTTTCTCATTTAGTAGTCACCCAGCTGCATGTGCCTGTCCCATAGTGACCCCCAAAACCTTCTGTAGTCAGTCTATCAAAAAGTAATGTTATTTTCAAGGTGCTAAAGGTGCTGACCACACTGCTCAGACTAAAGTGAAGTTATAAGAGCTCAGAGTAGTTGTATTAAGATAAAGAAATAGTTTTACTTAATTTGTTTTGTGTGCATGCTTGACTTGTTATCCCAGGTCATTATAGACACTGTATTTTATAGATAAGGAAAGATAACACCTAAACATTAATCATCATTTTGTGAATTTGTCACAAATAAAAATGTTAGTGAGTTGATTTATATATAGGTATTAGCATTAGTCATTTGTAATGGTTGTTATACAAGTTTCTAAAATTGTTACTTGAGGGTTTTTGATCCGTCTCATGTTAAATTTGGCCGTCCCTCTTGTCAGGTGCACCTCTCTACGAAATATAAGAGACAATGAGGAGAAAGACTCTGCGTTCAGAGGAATTTGCACTATGATCAGTGTAAATCCGGGAGGTGTAGTGCAGGTGAGATCCAGCACTAAGATGGCAGCGTGGTCATTATGCTTTTCTTTTTTTTTTTTTTTAATGTCTCTGGAAGTTAAAATGTTGCCTCACCTCTCTTCTCTGCAACAGGATTTTATATTCTTCTGTGACGCAGTGGCCTCCTGGGTAAATCCCAAAGAGGATCTCAGAGACATGTTCTACAAGGTAAATGCTTAAAATGACAATTTGCTGAATTGTACTGAGATCACTTTACGACTCAAGTGACATCTGAAAATGGACTCATCCTATTTTTTTAAATAACATCTCCAAAAGCTCATTTAGGATTCATATGGTTTTTATTCATTTGTTTTGTCATTCACTAAGTTGCTCTGTGTGCCCCCTAGTGGAGGACTGGCAGTGTGACATTCATAGTGACCCTGTCATGCACAAGATCTATTTTGAAAAGGTTGTAAATTAGCATGAAATAACTCCTGGTGTTAAATTTCAGATCCTTCATGGGTTCAAGAACCAGGTGGGTGAGGAAAACTGGAGGCGATTCTCAGATCAGTTCCCTGCGCCACTGAAGGAGCGGCTGGCAACCTTTTATGGGGTGTAACTGTTTCCAGAGCAGTGTGCCTCGTCGCTGGGGTCAGTTCAATTCCCTGTGATTTGGTTTTATATTGTTGAAAATAATGATTTCAGTATATTAATGATGCGTCTCTTTTCTCTGCACACAGGTCATTCACTTTGGGAGACAAACTAGGGAACCTCTTTTACCCAGGGAAAATGTTACCCTTTACTGGGGGGAAGGGTCTGCCTGCTGAGGGGAGGGAAGGGGTACGGACCCCTCCCCGACCTGGTGGACGGGGTGGGAGGGAGGTAGTAGCTGCAGTGCTCAGAGCCCTCTATGCACCGGCAACAGGGGGAAAGGGACAGGCAGAACAACCTTACCATGGGAGGAAAATTCATCTAATCACATCTTAATCAGTTTTCTTTTCTCTATTTCTTCTCCAAACACTTTGCTTTCTGTCAACCAAACTACTGAAAAGAAATGTGAGGAAATACGGAGAAAACAATTTGTTTTACAAGTTTTTGTGTCTTGAAATGTTGTGTGCAGGAAGTGAAAGAAGAGCAGTCACACATTTAAAATGATGTCAGCCAGGTAAATGGCTCATGGCAGTTTAATGAAACTGAAGATTATTCTCAGTAAACACAGTGAAGTTTCAGTAAGATATATTTTCTTTAGAAGGGTAGCTTAAAGCTAAGGAACATCAGCGCATAAGAATGCATCATAGTGGATCCATCTCTGGAGCCAGTGATTTTACAATGCTGCATATCACAAAGAATAAGTTATCATCTATATATTTGTCAGATAATTTCAGTGTTTCTATTGTTTAGCAGGGCAAACGCTGTTCATTGTCTCACTGGAGAGCACAACATTTTGTTTTAAGGGCAGCTTTTCTGGGAATAGGTAGCATGCTTGTAACATTGTGAAAAGCTGTAGAATATTAGTGATGTGCGTTGCGTTCGACAGCCGTCATTGCCCTGTAATAAGGTTCTTCTTCGATCTTGCAATTTATTTACTTATAGTACTTTTTATTTCCTCTACGTGAGAATTACAGCAATCAGCTGTAAAGTAGCATGACCAGGTTTACAAGTAAAAAAAAAAGAAGAAAATCCTGGCTGTCTTAAGGTGGAGTTAATCTCTCAGTCTGATCTTGTGGTGTGGATGTGACATGAACCTTCATCAGCAAGCATATCAGAGCTTTAGATGCTTACAATCCTTTCTATTGGCTGAGCCTCGCGAAGGAGAAGCACACAGGTTGACATCCTGAGCCGGTCGTCACCTTTTGTTTCTTGGACATGAACCACAACACTAATCCCGTCTTTAGTGACTTCTGGCAGAACCACGCAGCCCATCAACTCAATGTTGAATATGTTTTATTTTCTCAATGTACTGAAATTTCGTTCTTGGTTGTTTTGGCTTCTTGTGCTAAAAGCATGATCTCGAGGATGACTGTGTAATGTTTTGGGTGGTTGTGTTTCGTGGGGTACTTGGATGCTTTCATCTCTTGCATGTTGGTGGCCCCTCACACCCCAACATATAGTGGGGAGGGGATTATGGGGGGGGGGGAGGGGAGCTTCAATTCAAGGCTTAAAAAGAACCTTTTAGGTGTTGCAACACTGGGACAGTTATAACGTCACGTAAATCTTGCTGGAGTGTTCTCCCTTAACTTTGACCCCCATAGCTGGATGTATAGTTTAAAAAAAAGCTGTGAAACTACAACGTTTTTGTCCCTGGTTGTTTTTGCGCTGTTATATTTAATTAAGTGTGTAAGTGTTTCAGTTACAGATAGGCTGAATGTATTCCATGATGGGTTGGAACGAGAGGAATTCTTTTTAATCGTTTTTTTCTTAATGCCCAGCCAGTAATTTTTCCTCTGCCGGCCAGAGTAATAGCTGCAGTATTTTAACCTTATGTGATGCACATAACATGCACTTAAAATTCAAATTAAAAGCGCTTGAAGTTAATAGCTTGAAGTTGTAGCCAAATCCTTCGAAACATGATTCTAGTGTTAACACAGCTAATAAATAAACTATTGCTGCTAAAATGTATTAACCTAATGCAATACGTATTAAGTAATAATAAGTATCTTGATGCAATTGGGTTATTAGACTTTAAAAGTAGTTTAGTTTTTCCGATAAACTTATACCATGTGAAATATACAACTAGTCTCTTAGATTTAATGTTAATGGGGTGAGTGTGGGTTAAATTCAGGACATAATTCATCATGGAATACAGAGGCAAATACTTAAATGTGCCACATCATTTTGTGTTTTGATGTGATTTTTGTCTGTCACATTCCAGCTGTTTGGCATGCAAAACAATGGAGTAATCACAGCTTGATGGGGTGTGTGTGTGTGTGTTCACAGTCCGGTTGGTCCGTCATTGAAAGAGTGTAGAGTCTATAAAACACACGAAACAATCCCCCCCCAGCCCTGCTGTGTGCTGTATTTCTGACTTGACTGCTGCTATACATTGTAGTTGTGTGTCACTACTTGAATATGTGTTTTCTACGTGTTAACCTCAGGTCGTCTGTGTTCAGTGTTATTTGTTTTCATCGTTTCCCCCCAATGTGTACACGCCTTTATCCATTTCCTCTCAACGACTGAAGATAAGTAAAACTCTTGCCCCCTCGTATTAAAAGTGGGTAGCCGTGGGTGTGAATTGACATTAGTGTGATATGTGTGAAACACAGCTAGCTGTCAAATGTTACTACGACTGCAACGCAGGAGGGAAGAATAATTTGGAAACTTGCACATACTTTATGTACCTTTTATCTAAAGTGATTGTTATCAGACTACGATAAATATTTAGTGTAATGTGTACACAATGCCTTGAGAGCAAATAGGTTTGGTTGATGTTTTGCAATAGATATACAGTATACTGTATCTAAAGAAACAGGCAATGCCTAGAAAGCAAAGAAATAGGTTGATAACTTATGAACATTATGTTGTGAACATGATGTTTGAAAATATAAGTTTGACTTTCTACAAAGCTTTATTGAAAATTTGTATTTTATAAAACACCCACCAATATTGAGGAATGTCTTGTCAAAGAACTCCTGTACTCTCATTTAGCCTTCGAACTTGATTAGACGATCTGCCTTCATCTTTTTTGCTAATAAAAGCAAAGACATCATTTTGATAGACATGGTTTGAGTTTTTTTAATAAGCTGCTGAATTTTAAAATTAATACTTTTGGGGCCACCAAATATTTTGGATCATGCAAAGAATCTATATTGTACTGTAGTAATTTTGTAATATTTGTAAGATGATATAGTGAGTGTGACTGGTTACCATTGCTTGAGTCTGTACATTGTTCCAATAAATTGTTTACATTATTATGCCTTGTATTTTCTCACATTTAGAGTATTTCTCCTTTTGCAGCTGCACAAAATTCACCCTGATTCCATCGTGTTACCATATTAAAATGTTTGTCTTAAAAAGTATGTAGCAAGGCAAATAAGATAGAAGATAGACCCAGACATGTGATGCAATGTTCGTGGATCCTATGCAAATATGACTGCAGCAGCACAGCATGCTACATTTAGTTTGACTACTCATCGGAATGTGTATTGTGTCCTGCATCACGGGGAAGGGCAGGAATGGTAAAGCAGTAACACCCTAGTGTTTTTAATACAATCATGTCTGACTTGTTTTTAGCACTACTTTTGGAATCCGTGTTGCCTTAAAGGGATAGTTCACCCAAAAATGAAAATTCACTCATTATCTACTCACCACTATGCCGATGGAGGGCTGGGTGAAGTGATTGAGTCCACAAAACGCTTTGGGGGTTTCAGGGTTAAATAGCATTGCAAACAAAATCCAATACAATTGAAGTGAATGGTGACCACTTCTTTGAACGTAAACAAAAACATGAAATGCCTCCATACTTCTCCCGTGGTGTCATCCAAGTGTCTGGCTTTTTAAGGCATTTCATGTTTTTTAACGTTTGAAAAAGTGGTCCCCATTTATTTAATCTAAATTGTAGCTTTTTTTTGTACCCTTTATATTTAAGTACTTTATATTTACATTGGGAGTGGGCCCGCCATGTTCTTTTTTTTTTACAGTAGCCCAAACTGGACAAACTAAACACCTTTTGAGTTTTTATGACAACTGAAGGCTCCCACAGGTTTCCTTCATTTGGAAAGAGAGGGTGAGCTGAGGGGTGTTCAGCTGCAACATGACACTTCACCTCTAGATGTCACTAAATTCTACACACTGAACCTTTAAGAAAATGCACAGTGGCAAAGCAAAAGAGTTTCATAAGGATAGAAGTAAATTCTTCTTATTGTGATTCATACCCCCCTCCGGATGTCCAATATGTGCACGATTATAACCAGATTCAGATTGCCTTTATTGTCATTGAATGTGATTCAAAGAAATGTGTATTGCTACGTCCCGTGGTACAACATGAAGCAACATGTAATGGCAAAACAACATGTAATGACACAGAATATATACAATAAATACAGCAAGAATAAATGTAACAAGGAGGTGACTCAAGTGTGGAGTGCATGATTGCAGTGTCTGTAGTCATCTTCAGTCTCCCATTGCTGCAAGTGGGTCCACAAGTATGTCTTAAGTAGCTCTTACATTTTTTATTCATTCATTTATTGAGTGTGTTCTAAATAAACCCCCTTTCATGCGTCTGACAACTTTGATATCATCTTGAACGTGTTGGACTTTACGCCGAGCACTTGAAAGCATCACTTCTGTTGTCTCCATCCGCCAGCTGCGGCGCTGTTTCCTAAACCGTGAGAGGGGGGGCAGGGGGGCGAGCCGCAGCACAGCCGAGCGGAGGTGGAGTCTCGCGGTGGGGAGGGAGAAGAAAGGGGAGAGAGGAGGAAAACGGGGACAGGCAGAACCGAGAGAACCGGGGGGAGGACGGTGGATGATTTACGCGTTCAACGTTGCATTAGAAGCGGGTAAACGGCGGCGGCGAAGAGGAGGCAAACAAGATGATAACGCCCTACTTCCTGGAGAGTTTCTGGGTAGGTGGTGCCCTTCTTGTTCACGCTGTTTACACCGGTGCTGTTCTTCTTACCCTCCGCTCTGCTCCCTCCCCACCGCGGTCATGTCAGCCAGGAACCGAGTGATAATCACGGCGTCCGGTTCACACACTCGCTCCCGTTGAGGCGGTTGTGTCCGGCGTCCGCCGCGCTCACCGGCCCGCAGCTCCCCGCTCCTCCGCTTATTCCCCTCGGCGATTATTATTTTGCCACCGCGGGACTTTGGGCCTCGGTAACAGCATCTAACTTGAATCCTCCATGAATCCCACCCCCCGCCGCCGCTAATTGGCCCTCTCAGACTCGCTTGGAATGTTGATGGTCACTTCCGCGAATGCCATTGGACGCCGCGGCTGCCCGTCACAGCCCCCTTGGGCCGGACGCGTCGTTTTTTTTTTTTCTTCCGTAGCAAAGTTTCAGTGAGAGGCCAAAATGTAGAGTGAGTCAGAGAAGCAGTTTTTAAAAGCCACAAGTTTCACACTTTTATTTAGCTCACATGAGAACCAGCGAGCTGCTGCTGCGGCGCGTGTCTAAGTTCACACCCTGAACCCTGTCGACTAAAGGTCAAGCCTCGCCATTCTCATTTGACGTGGCTCTGTTGTGGCAGGTTGAAAAGTTAAAGTGGTATTTCATCGTTTGTCCCGTCCTGTCAGTTCATTTTGTATAAATCTCTAAAGCCAAGAACACATTGTTATTAAAAGTGAAAGCGACTCAGGCCCCAGCTCTGATCTCAGATCAGGTGTGGGGGATGTTTTGGGTTTTTAAGTCTCTTGGCTTTATCACTTTGAGACCAGGGAGGTTTGGACAATGGCTAATAAATAAATAGATGAATGCTGGATCACTGAATATAGTAGATATTTTGTAGTTACGCTTATAAACGAGTCTTTTCTCTGTTGTTTTTCAATGATCAGGTAAATGTTTGTATTCATACAGAGCTCTTCTAGTGTTGATGACCACTCCAAGTGTTTCACACACATATTCATACAGTGCATCTATGTGCAGCACTGACTCTATTACACATCACCTACACACTTAAAGCCGTCAGGGGCGATTGTGGTTCAGTATCTTAACATTAACTACAATTTTTATAGGAAACCTTTCAACACAAACTACAAAGTGCTACACAACAGAAAACGAGTGGTTGATGAAACACAAAAGGAAGTACATAAATAATAATGGTATTAATAGTAATAGAGACAAATAGTAAAATCGCCTGGCACCCCAAGTCAATTCAGGAATATGCCTTGCGAAAAAAAATGTTTTTAGCTGAGATTTACAAGACAAGACTGTCTCAGATCTTGCCCAGTGTAACTTGAGTTGGGGAGACTAGGATTGAACCGCTCTACGTCCTGATCCACAGCTGCCTCAGGTGTACTTTACAGTGCTTGGAAATGTCATGTTGCTGAAACATCTTTTACTTGGAGTGTGTCAGCTACTAGAAATAACCTCCATTCATAGAACATCTCCCTCTTCCATTGAAGGTGGGAAATCACAACCCTGCTTAGCTTAGTTACCGAATGGAAACAACATTAAGTCAGGTGTTTGAAGTAATTAGAGAAGTACAGTGCTGTCGACCTCTGAAGCCTCTCCTCTTGCAACAGAGACTTCATAATTAGTGACATGGAAAAAGAAGGAGGGGGAGCTGAGATGCTCCCGATCCTTCAATCTGCCCTTTGTGCCCCTCAGTGGACCACAAGAGGATCCAGTGATGGCAAAGATCAGCTGTGTGTTTAACATGCAGGACATGCACGCACACACACTTGGCATTAAGGAGATGCATCCATTTCCCTTTGACTTGACTACAAATCATCACCACAAGCAAACACTCACATCAGGTTTGCAGATATGAAGAGTTTGTCAATCTTTACTTCTGCACAGCATGCAGAAGTAAACACCTCCCTCCACCCTGCCCTCTCTCAATGTGGAGACATTTTCTTGGTTCTTTTCCTTGTATATAATCTTGGCTGGAATCTTAGTCGTAGACAATATCTCTCCTCAGCTGAATAAACAAGTTCTTGTGGAATTGGGAGCCAGACATTGAGCGGCCATGTTGCTCTGTCTAAATCACGGCACTTCATTGGTCACTGGCTGCAACATTTCCACTCTCTACATTTTCTTGCACGTCTCATTTCCCTTTTTTCATGGGTGTTGAATGTGCATAATTTCTTTGTGGTCTACGGATGAAATCTTTCAAAGTGACTATCCCCCACATGTACTGAAATGTCTCAGTGGTCCAGTCGTATATAATGGCAGCAGGGTAGTGGATCTAATGCTCTAATTTTAGCGCTAGGTCTATGATGAGCTTCTGCTTGATGTGGAGTCAGTTACCCTCTGGCCAGTCATGGGAAAATGAGATGGCAACGCGATAAGCAAACAGTGTTGATACAGCCAACAGCCCCGGGGCGGCCGTCTTCTCTCTGGTGTCTGTGTTGAGTGTGTGGTCGATAGATTCTCACACATCACACAGTGCAAGCTGGACGTCAGACAAGGGAAGTGTTGCAACAACAGCCAGACTGAAGCAAGAAGAGGAGATGGGCAGTGCAGTGGTGACATATTTCCCTTCAATTAGTGTTTTTTTTCAAATTATTTAAGCACAATCAAAGCAGCCACTATGTTGCTTTCCATTTTGTTTTAGTTGTGAGGCTCCAGCAAAGAGCCATGTGAGAACTGGTGGAATCTATCTGCCGTTCCCAGAAGATGAAACTCTGGTTTGAAACAGAAATCCTCTCTCATGATGGTTTGTTGTTGTTTACTTTCATTGCTTGAGGTCCAGAAATCGTGTAATCTTGGAGGTGGTGAAATGAGTCACAAGTTGTGATACAAAAAACTTGCTCTGGGATTCATCCTGCACACTCGATGCCACATCCTTAACTGCAGTGGTCAGGCCCTGGTAGATCTCTGTGTATACCACAAACAAAGCCCAGCCTGTGTGTGCTCACCACATACTACATACGTGTGTTGTTGCTAGACGGATGAGTTGCGACAGCACAGTGCACCGCTCCCAGACCTGAGTGGTCACGTGACCCAGGGCAGACACTGTGATGTCATCCTGCCGTCTACACACTCAAGAGCTCTAGGGTCTGCACCGGGCCGTTCGTTTACATGCGTTCTGGAAAGAGGGAGTCTTGTTTAGCCGCTGTTAAATTCCTTCGTGAGTGTTTCTGCTGCTTTCACCTGAACGTTTGCTCAGAACCTCACAAGTCACGTCAGCTGAAACCCTCTTAATCCTTTTACTAATATTTTCTCTGGTTTACTCTGAGGAATTACGGACCTAAATTTCCTTAAGTACACTTATCTAACCCGTGATACATTTTGCAGCATTATGTGATGAATGTTTGTACATACACTAGAGCAATTTCTACTTTACAGTTTAATAGTTTGTTTCTGAAGTAGTCTCACTTTGCGTTGTTTTGTGCGTCACATCAGGTCTGTGAGGAAGTTTGTGTAATTACTTTTGCTCGTAGCACATACTAACTCTTATTTTGGTGGAAATTATCTTACACATGTTAAAAAAAGGTTAACATATACTTGCACGGAAATGGGTTCTCAATAAACATTCTCTCTTTGAATAGACTAGTGCCTAATGTAAACCTGCCTGTTTGGACTGTTTACTTGACCTGTTAATGCTCTGGAGCTACTTCAGATTTATTCCTTGTCATTGGTTTATCTGCGATGAAAATTTTATTGTCAATGTTTTTCATGAAATAGAACTGAATTAGCTTTTTTACTGTTCACGTGTTATTATATATACGTTTAAATGATTTACTTAACCACTGTTATTTTTTCAATGTGCGTTGCTATTTCAGAGATCTGTTAAACAACCAACACAATCTTCAGACCTAAGTTCACAACTTTTCAAAATAAAAGCTCTGTAAGTCAGCTGGATACAAAGCATTGCAGCAACAAAATAAACATTGGAAAAGACTTCTTGCTCAAGAGGAAGTGATTCTATGAATGTTGTTGACATGGCAGAAATCAGCACCTTTGAATGTCCGTGACTCTGATATAGTGAAAGAAACCACTGCTGTAGTTTAGGCCGTGGAAGAAGACATGTTCAACTTGGTGCACAGACTATACAGATACATGTTCCACATATAAAGACAGACAGACAGATGTTTGTAGAATCTGTAGGTAGATGCAGATACTTCTTTGTAGGCTAAATAAAGACCTTGTTTTTTATTACAATGATTAATACAATTTTATGAACACCTCTCTGATTACAACCTTCGTAAAGTCAGTGTTAGCTGAAGGACCTTTAGTTTCAACCTGATGTACCTGAGTGTATATACATGTACGAACAGTAGGAGTGGTTTTAAGGGACTTGGTTTGTCCTGGTTGTCTTTTGTTGTTGCACAACGATGAGTTAACCAGGACTCTTTCCGTGTCATGGATTGCATTACTGCCTGTCAGGCACTAACACTTGATTCTGCACACACTGGATATTGACACGGGTGTTGTACTGTGGCAGAAAGAGAGTTCTTGCCCCCCTCTGCCCGGCAGATGTTGCATGATAAAGTGCAGCACTGTGGTTTTGTTTATCTGTCTTGAAGGTGCTATTTCAGATTAGGAGTGTAAGCAACTGTTTCTTTTTGAGTTGATTGCCCTTGTTAATTAGTCAGGAGAATTTTTGCATTGATTTTAGAGAAAGAACCAATAGTAATCATATTTATCACAAGATAGAGAATTTTTTGATTCAAAAGAAAATATAGCATTGTATAATTACACAGATGTTACTGTGTGAAAACACAGAAGAATGTGCTTTGTGTTTTTGCAGTCACGGCTCTAGAACCTTTATAGTGTGAATGGAACCACTTAATTATACAATTGGCTGCGTCTCATTGAAATAATTACTCTGGAGGTGGTGATGAGAAATCTGTGTGCTTTTTTTATATCTTCATATGAGACTAGATAGTTTACCCCACTGCAAGTGGAGGTTACTTTCAGGATGAATCTGTCATGCTGCTTTCAGACATGCACTGAGCTCCGTAGATCTCCTGCCTCCAGATTTTCTGCGGACTTTCTCCAGCTGGCCCCCTCATATAAAATCTGCAGAAAGATAACAGAAGTCGATGTGTGAACACAGCAGGGAATCCCCGGGTTGATACTCTGGGAGTGAGTGAAGGGGTTGATGACGCTTCTAACAAGGAAACAAATATCTTGTTTCCTTGAAAAAGCAGAGCCACACGTAAAAGACACTGATGAAGATGTCAAGAGAGTTTGAGGTGATAAGAGACGACGCCGATGTTCTGTAAACAAAATCGGGCTATCTCCATAGCAGTATTATACGTTACATCCTGGCTCTGTCTGCTGCACCACCCCTCACCTGATTCCAGCGGGGAATTTGTTGTTGTTATGAACTCGACTGAGTAGGAAACCCCCACTGGCTATGTTGTGCATGTGTGAAACAAAACCTCAGGAGAAAGTCTGGACCCAATTCTGTCTGAAGACGGCTTTTAGTTTCTTACTTTACTTTTACTGATTCAATGTTTGCTCCTTTAATTTTCAGAAAAAAGTGAAAAAAAAGTGAAAAAAGCCCAGTCCAAAGATTTGTTTAGGTTTTGTCCTCATTCGACAAAGAAAAGCTACAAAAACACACATTTGAGAAGTTAGAAAGAGGAACAAATGTTTTGTCCTTTTCCTTGGAAAGTTACTAATAAATGATTTACAGATTCTCCACATAGTTATTGATTGATTTGCTGTTGTAGTCTAGTGAGTGTTTATGGTGATTTTTAACGCCGATTGTTTGCATTATAAGTACAACTTCAGGGATAAGTTTATTGAACCCTCAGTGAGTCGGCGTATGAAAACCTGAGTTGTTTCATATTAGCTTTTTTCCAGGGAAAGAACACGCTGTTTCATTTTGCACTCTATAACCCGAAGCTATAGTTTATGGCTGTATATTAAAATTCTGACGTTGCTGCTTTTTTCCATCTGAGCCATAGGGTCTGAGCTCTCTTCCCAGCCTGAACATTAGTGCACGTTCAACCATGACGTTAGACGTCTAGTCGCTGAGCTATTACCTAGATTTCTTTCCCAGCCCAAAGCACATAAAGACGACGCAGTCTGTGCACACTACAGGACATAGTGCAGTGTGTCACGGCCTGTGTTTATCAACTACTATCATTGTATAGGAAGCTGTCTCTGCCGTTCGCTGAGCTGTTGCTCAAACAAACCGTGACTGACTTGTGCTATCCACGTTTTTCTCCCTGTGGGGTGGAGCGGAGAGTCAAAAAAACCCTCTCCATCCAAAACACAAGCATAACGACCACTTCTGAACTTCACAGTGTGGTTGGAATATTAATCACTCAGTGTGAGGGCTTTCATCAATGAGTCTCCAGATGAGGACATTGAGAAACTACAACTCATATTGAGAAGTTGAACAACCATAATTAAGCAACTAGTTAAACATTTCTAGTGAACTTATTTCTCTTTGTATCCCTGGCTCCTCTTTTGTTGGGTAAAGATTTTCATAACCAATTCCACTATTGTAACCTGGTATAAAGTCAAAAACGCCCTGGGCCCGTTTCCTGTGTTTGTTTTTATTTTTCTTTGTATTCACTGACATCACATTCCACATGAGCCCAGTTGTTGTGCAGAATGGACTTTCTTCCTGTTTCTTACCTCTATTTGGAGCTGTGTTTTTCGCTCACTTCCCGTTTTTGTGAGCTGGTTGGCCAATCATCAGTGATTCTCTCACTTGTAGTTAAGTGAGTTCAGTGCAGGTTGGTTGTTACGGTCTGCGTCTCACCTTCCGGGCATTAAAATCAGTCACGCTGTTTGCTGCTGGTGGAGAACTAGCTAAACATGTCCTTTTTTAATGGTTATCTTGTTAGAACAGGAAACATCTCACCAGGTTAAAATGTCAGCTGGTGAGCTGCAGTATGGAGATGGATACTTTTCCTTTAATGTCTATTTGCTCTGTAAATAAAGTTCTATTTGAGCTGACTCTGACTTTTTGACACTGACTTACTGACCTTTCGTGTTTGTCAGTGGACCAACAAAGCTAAACCACGGTGTAACACTGCACTGATGTTGCAGCCTGTGCACCAAACTGCTGACTGTGGATCGCTCCAGGAACCAGGAAATATCTGTGTCAGTCTTAAGTTGCAGTGAAACAATGTTGGCACACAGAATCCAACAACAATGAGGATGAACTTAAGAGGGTGGACAGAGGTGTTATCTAAGTGACCTGAGCCTTTGTTTTAGTGAAAGTATGAGTTTTCTTATTTGTCTTCATTTCGGTAGAGAAAATGCTTCAGTCATCTAAATAATGATGTTGCAATGAAGACCATTAATACACTAGCTGTTACTGTATTCTGTCGGCCTATTTGTTTTCTCAGGTAATCCGAGGACACTTTGTCACTACAAGCTGTGATTTGTCTGTCCCCTCCTCTTCACTAAAGCAGCAGCCTAATGGAGGGCGATGAGAGGAAAGTGAGGTTCCTCTTTTCTCAGACATGATAAGGAGACTTTAAACGGAAGCTGTGTCGAGAGTTAACCTGTCGCCTGATCTGTCAACTGTACTGTTGTAAATAGACACTCCATAGGGACCAACAATAAATATGATATTATACTAGCAATAACAATAGTAGTAATACTAATTTACAATGTCACAGTATTACTTGGATTACTAGAGGTATGAATAATAAAAGAGTTCTTGTCTGACTGTGCAGGTTGTTTGATTGATTTTACTGCTTCAGGCAACAGTATGGCTCAGTTTCATTATCTGTCCTGGCATTTAATAGAGAGGCGGAATAATAAGTGAGGTTTCACCGTTGAGAGTCCACCTGTCAGAGCTTTCTGGTTTACAAACATACACTGATGCAATAATATAATACCAATATAGCTGATTAGTTGGTCAAATGTTGTTTTATTCATTGTGATTTTGTCCTTTTAATTCATTGAGGTTGCTTGTTGTCACTTATTCAATTTATGTTTTATTCATTATCTTGTTTATTTTTCTATGTATGCATGTAGCAGTAGGGTATCATTATAACTGTATTAGAAGTGTATGGTCATTTATGACTATGAAACCTTTAGTTTAACCTAAATCCATCAATTCTGTTTCAAATTAATTATTCAGATGTACGTTTGCATTTTTAAAGCATCGGTGCAACTGGACACTTGTTACCCAGTTGCGTGGTTACGGCAACACAGATAAGACAGATATCTGGCTGTCTCCTACATTACAGACTGGAGCCTTCATACCAGTCTGCCACCATTTACAGCGTTTATTGATATTTCATTACTCTCAGACATGGCCAGGATAAGTATGGTTGACCAGAAGCTGCTGCGAATGCAGCTGGAAGCGATGCAGACGATGAGAATGCTGCTTGTAGAAAAACCCTTCAGGGTAAAGTGGGATCAATAACTGAGGTATTGTCTTTGTTGGACTTGGCTCTAACTCTGCTTACTGATCTGTCTGCATTTGTTTTGTCTCTGAAATTGCAGGGGGAAAAAAATAATGGCTTTGACGTGCTCTACCATAACATGAAGCATGGCCAAATCTCCTCCAAGGAGCTGACCGACTTCATCAGAGAAAGGTAAGTTACTCAGTCTTGTTCTGGGGAGATGACCATTTGCACTTGGTTTACAATTTAATCTTGTACATGTAACATGTTACTCATTAACGTATCATATCATGTGGTAATAAAATACACTTTCTCCTTTGGTTTTCTTGGTATTTAAATGAAAGTCGACACCTGCAGCTCCTCTTCTTTTCATTGTGCTTGTATTAACATCCAAATACATACAAACTTAGGTTTATTTCAGCAACTTCAAATAACACTTCTCAATGTTGAATTATCCCTCTAATGTAATTATTGATTATCAGTGGTTTAGATTATGCATGTTTTGTCTGATGAAAAGTCCAAAACCTAATTTTATTCAGTTTACTGTGATATATGACAAAGAAAATCGTCACATGACAGAAGCTGAAACTTTATTGTAGTTTTAAAAATGTTCATGTTAGTCTTTGAGAGTACAAAGTGTCAGCTCCTCTCATTTTACTGTCTTAAGTTTATTAGTGCAACATTGTGACAATAGGTTGATCGGTGTGCTTGTTATGTAAACTTGAACTCTTTGTTGAGGGAGCTTAAACCTGAGTCCATCTGTAACCTGACATGTTTCACACCCTCAGTGTCAACAGCTTATAACAGCATAATAACAGCTTCTTTTCAAATTCTACCAACCTCCACAAAGATTAACCTTCCTGTGTAAGAGTTGTGTTCATAACCTGCCACATGATAGATGGTCCTACACTACAATTCAATAGTGTCTACCTGACTCGTAGGAATGCACTCAGTCAGATTTGACATCATCGATCAGCTGCGTTCATTGAAAGATGATGGGAAAGTGACTGATGACAATTCAAAAGTAACTTAGAGGAAAATTAGCGGTTTTCCATTCTGTTAGTCGTTAACTTTTACTTGCATTTTACTGCTGAATGACTCTTGTGATTGTTTATTCAACCATTTGTGAAGCTTTTCTGTTTAAACACTCCAGACTCATTTGGAATATATCATCTTTTAGCTTCTGGCTCTGCTCAATTATTAACCGTCCTCGTGGTCTGCAGGAATGTGGCTGTTAATATACATACAAATGAACGAGATCGTTATTGATGAAGGAGACAGAAGGTCCAGTAAAAGTTATTTAATGAAATTCATTTAATTGCCTTGGGGTGTCATAAATCCATTCACTGTGTGCCAGCTTCCTGGTTGACTTCATAGACTCAATGATATTTCCTGGTTGTTTCCCTTTGAAAAACGTCACTATGCTTCCCTCTTGTGGGGAAAACAACACACTGCACTCTGTAATTATATTACCACAATATTTACTCTTCTGTCAATAATGCCATATTCCATAAAACCACTGAAGATTGTATCCACAGGTTCAAGAGACAAACACGTCAACAAAATATCTTGCAGCTGCTTTGACCTCGCTCTGAAAGATGAATAAATACCTGCATGCTGCTTCTTCATTCTCAGCTCCCCTTTTATAGCAAGTGGATATGATTCACAACATTTCAACCACAAACGGCTCACACACCGTCCATGTGAACAAGCAACAAACTAAAAATAATCTTTACCTATGTTATTTCTTAATCAACCGCACCTCACCCAATGTGTCCCAAAGAAACAATTCTACATTCTACATACTACTCCTCATACTGTTTTTAACACATTTTACCGCTTTTATCGTGTCAATAAATAATACAGTTAGTGTGTCAAACTTCACAAAGAGATGTCAGAACGTTTTCCATGAGATTCGATGAAGCTGTATCGCTGCCATTTATTCTAAAATCCTCAGATATGCACATCGACAGGTGATCTTCTTCTGGTCACTTCATCTGTGGTCAGAACAGTGTCACCATAGAAAGGAAGAGAAACTAAGAATATCTTCATGTCTAGATTTAAAGTCAGATCTTAGATTTTAAAGCGTGTCATTTTGGTTATGGACATTATAACATTATAACATTATGTGGCTCTTCACTAAAGTATAAGTGCACTCAGTAGGGCACATACCTCTGCCAAGGGCTAACATTTCCCTTCAATTCAATCAAGCCGCATTAGATTGCACACACTCATAGATATCATTTCCATGAATCATTCCCTGTGGAATTGATGAGAATTGAAAAAAGAAACAGCCTATTTTACATTGTTAAAGAAACCAACAAACAAAACCATACAACTAACTAACACAAGGTATGTGTGTCTAGGAGTCAATAATTCTTTTCCTGCTCCCTGGTTTAAAAAGCACTCTGCAAACTTGAGTTTTTTAATTAATATTTTGGAACTTAATGATGTGTAAAACTGAAACTGCCACTCTGGGCTCACAGGAAGATGTGGAAGTGGGAATGTAGCCAATAGTTCATCTCTAGCTCTGTGTATTGAGGCAGTGCTGTCTCTGAGTGCACTTGTTCTTCCATGGGACGTTTGTGTGCGTCAGTGCGTGTGTGTGTGCGTGGGTGCATGCATGAGAATGCGTCGCACAAGTTTGTCCCGTTTCCCCCTGGCTGACCTTGCTCCTGTGACGTGACTGCAGAGAGAGGCTGGCAAAACGAGACATGCATAATTCAGACCTCCGCTATAACTCTGCTGCATTTTTTTGTAACTCCTGTCACTTTGCTACAGAATGAAGGAGTAAAAAGGAAAATTGAGAGAAGCAGGGTTTCAAACACTATCTTTCAAATGCTGTCAGCTTCAACGTGAGGTTTGTGAACAAATCGCAAACCAAACCATACTTATTTTCCCACACTGTGTGCATGTGGTCAAACATTTATGTTGCACACTCTAAGTGGATGTTTTTGGCTGGGATCTGCAGATGTTCAGTGCCGTGGCCTATTTGTGCCATAACCTAGTTGCACATATAAAAATGTACAATACATTACGATTGTTATCTCGGTATCATAGACATATTTTGGGATAATTGAGGTGTCGTTTAAAATGAGTGTGTTGTGTTTTTTCTCTCTCCTAGGAGTACTATCGAAGAGGCCTACGCCAGATCAATGACCAAACTTGCCAAGTCAGCTGGCAACTTTTCTCAGCTTGGGTGAGTGTAAACAACTTTCCTATATTTCTGTACAAAAACAAAGATCAGTGTGAATTTGTGTAAAAAGGTTTTGTCAAGTCTTAGCCTTTAACTTGTCGACCATCCTTCATCCCAGGACGTTTGCTCCGGTGTGGGACGTGTTCAAGAGCTCGACAGAGAAGCTGGTCAGCTGTCACATGGAGCTAGTGAGGAAACTACAGGAACTTATAAAAGAAGTTCAGAAGTACGTGGAGGAGCAGGCCAAAGCACACAAAAAGGTACAGGAATGAAGAATACAGGAATTAAGAGCACTCAGATTGATTAAAGTTCTCATTGCTAAACATTTCTGGATACTTGTGCAAGTCAGAAAATTCAGAGAATCTGTAGTGTTTTTCTATGAAGTGTTTTTCCCCTACACCTCACTCCTCTGCCCTGCTGAGACACACCATCAGCTCATATCTCATGCATGAGGCCACAGAACACAAAGTAAAATAGGAGTTAGGAATTAGCCGAGTTGTGTTTGTGCTTTCAGCATGACAAAAAGGCTGTCACAGTTTCTCTCTGTCACTTCCCTGCACTCCCTGCTCCTCTGCTTTGGGTTTCTTCCCTAACTTGCAGATACAATGCGCATTGAAGTACAGCGGTGCAAACAGTAAAAACTTAACACCCATCACGGAGAAGATGCAAATGCTGTTTGTTTATTTTTCTTTTGCTTACTTCAGTGATGTTTACATTATATCAAATATGTAAATCAATGACTATTGATTACCAGTCATGATAATCATTAGCCTCTGGGGCATCGGACAATAATTTGGGCCCTCTGTTGTCATCCGGGCCAAGAATCCCTTTTTTTCATTCACCTTACTGTTTACAGTCTGATGAGTCGCACAAAACACCAACAACAATACCTGTTGTTGGTGTTTTAGGTCCAGACAACATATTAGCATTTTAACAGCTATCTGCATCTGAATGTAGATAGATTAAAAACCCGACAGCCGATGCATTTCGGTCAATGTGATCCACCTCTGTTGCTCTCCACACGGTCTGTTTACCTGCAGGCACCCACAGTCTGCTGAAACGTGATGGGTCAAACCAGAAACGGAAAACAGAAGGCTTCTGTCCTCGAAGTCTTGTCCCTCACCCACAGATTCAATAGCGTTTACCAGCAGTCAACCAGTGTGGCCATTGAATTATGTCCTGATTATATTTTTTAATTTGCAGACTTTTATCTATATTGAATAGCTACAGCAAAGCTGTAATCACTCCCTGCTGTACACTGCAAGAGCTCTGTGTCATATGCTGGAGAGTGAAATTGTGTTTTACTAGAGCAATAAAGGACCTCTGTCTCTTTCTCACATAATATAAAGGGTATGAGAACAAATGTTGAGTTTGTATTATGCTGCAGTGGAACTATAGAGCAATGGGTGACACTGGCACTTATTATTTAGCTTGTGGTTAACTAAAGACATTTGCGTGTTGTTAGACAAAAGAAGAGGTGGCATCGACCCTGGAGGCCGTCCAGAACATCCAGACCATATCTCAGGCTCTGCAGAAGTCCAAGGAGATCTACAACGCCAAAACTGTGGAGCAGGAGCGCCTCCGCAAAGAGGGGGCCACCCAGAGAGATGTGGACAAGGTGGGAGGTCACACACACACACACACACCAATGTAGCATGGTATGCTAATAAGTTACGATGAATTCCCTTAACGCTATACATAAACTTTAACCTCTAAAAGTCTCTTGCCTTCAAATGCTAAGAGGAGTTTGATTTCCTCATTCATCATTTGATCTAGGACACAGAGGCCCATTGTCTACAGTATATAAACCTATGATCGCCATTTATCTGGCTGTTTATACTTTGCAGGCTGGAGTGAAAGCCAAAAAAGCCACAGAAACCTACAAAGCGTATGTGGAGAAATACGCCACAGCGAAGTCAGAATTTGAACAGAAGATGGCAGAAACTGCACAGGTATTGTGATTATTGAATTTCCTTGTGCAGTGTGTTGAAATTAAATGTGTGCTCACAAACTCTGCCCGTCGTCTGTCTCTGTTGAACGCAACACTTTGTTGTGTAATATGGCACAGCCTCGTATAAGTGTCTGTGTGTGTTCCACGTTTCGTGCCCTGTGTCATCTCCAGATTGTGTTTTTTTCCTCTGCAACGGATTCATCGTGGAAAGCTCTGATTGGATCCATCTGAGCGACTGATTAGATAAACTCCAAATTAAAATCAGATCAGCAGAATTTGGTCTTGATATCCTCCTGCTCTGCAGCAGCTGCGCCACCAGAGATGGTCCCGGTTATCCCAACATTTTTTTGTGTTTGTTTTTCCCAAGAGAAAGTGGTGTTGAACCTCTGCTTCCTTGGCACCACAGTCTACAGCTCATCTCGAAGTCAGCACATGTGGACGTGGGTTATAAACACTGAACACATGTGGCTCTCTGACATCACCGGGGCTCCTACATGTGTGTTCTCTTTGTCTTGATGTGTCTGTGGGCGGGTGGGTGTGTCTGTGTGTGAGCTTATTGTGGTGAATGACAGAAGTGCAGTCTCACTTGTGTGTGAGCGTCTCTGTAGAGTAGAGGCAGCAGTTTGTGTCTTTGTGGTAGGAGAAGCTCGTCGTCCTCTTCCTGGACAGTTTCTGATTATTCATACTCATCTTCTGTGGTTTATCCCACAAGCCCAGAGTGGGAGTCAAATGGAAGTAACTTCTAGCTTTTAAGGTTGTGATCTACACTATAATACAACTTAATACTGAGGCCACATCAATCTATTTAAAACTAAAACTATTTCTGTCCGCACAAGCATTTCCACCCTTCATAAGTAATAATCCCTGTCCATACTAACGCACCTGAAAACGCATATCACATTACCTTTCACCTGTACTGGGCATGTGCGTGCCGGTGTAGGAAGGAAGCAGATTGTCTACTCTGCAGTCGATTGCATACTTAAGGCAAATATGACAAACAAAAACAACAAGGGTGAAAAGCAAGAGCAGAGATTTGTTTTCTTTGACTGACGACGAGGTGGAACTGTGACTAATGATTGGTGTTAGAAACGCTTTGCCTTTACTGCTGGTTGTGAAGTCATGACTGATAAGATCCAATCAGGAAGCGAATGTTGGTGACTGCATCATGGATAAAAAATAAATAAATGGGTCCGGCAGCATTTTAGGCAACGAAACCTCCGGAAGAGTGTTGACAGTGATGCATGATAGCCTGTGGTAGGTTTTGTGTATGAGCACCATACCCAGACAGCCACACGGAAAGTGAAAGAAACAAAAGCTGTTCTTATGCTTGTCCTGCAGAGAATCTACAGAGAATTGGGTCTGGACTCTCTCTGCAGTTGCCTTTCACACATGCTTAAGGCAGAGGGGGGGGCCCTCTGACACATTCACAACAGTAACATACAGGATTCGGGTGAGGGATGGTGCAGCAGACAGAGACGTTACATATTAATTCCGCTGCAGAGATCACGGGACTTTGTTTACAGCAAATCGACACCGACTCTTATCGCCACAAACTCTCTTGACATCTTCGTCGGTGTCTTCTACACGTGTGACACTGCTTTTTCACCCTGAGATATTTCATTTCTTTTTGTTTCTTTTCATTTTTGTGTCTGTTGCATGTTAGAAACGCATCAACCCCCCCACTCACTTGCTGTGAATCCAGCAGGAAATCTTAGATCATCTCCTCTGGACTGTCTGCAGACTCCTTATTGTTTAGGGGGGAAAGCAGAGAAAGTCTGCAGAATCTTTGGGGCCTCTCACTCTGAAATTTGTGTGCGCACATACACCTCCTCAATTCAGTGATTCAGAGTTCAGTGTATGTCTGAAAGCAGCTAAAATAAGACATGTTAATGAGACCGTAATGCATTGTTTATCAACCCTCTTAAGTGTTCTCACCCTGTGTTACAGAAATTCCAAGACATTGAAGAAAACCACATTCTCCACATGAAGGAGATCATTCAGTCGTACTCGCAGTCAGTCAACGAGACACACATTCAAATAGGAGAGGTGAGTGCATGCACACATGTACACACATACACATACACGCACATGCGCACATACATCTCTTACATTCCTGTGGGTGGAGTAGGTGTCTTGTTGACCTGCGGCTGTGCTCATTGGGTTCACTGTGTGTCATATCAATTAGTGTCGTCTTTGATCTCGCTAATCATTTAACTAAGAAGCAGGAAATGGTCCATTCAGCCTTTTATGCCGAGCAATTAAAAACTGATCAAAACTCCCTCTCAGCGTACCTAAAACACCTCCAGAAGTCCAAACACTTGCCAAACACTGTGTCTGATAGTTGAATGTGCTGCACAGGCCTGGCCATTTCTGCGTCAGTGTGTTTGGGTTTCAGCAAATGGCGATCAACTCCAATTGTGCACGCTTTCAAACATCGCTCACAGCTATATTAATCAGTATTTAACGTTAAACAGAGATTTCTTTTTATTTATTTATGCAGCAATCACACTTACCAGCGCCACACAGAATAAGTCAAGACCAACACTCTGCTGCTCTGTTATCATTCATCTGTAGCCGCTCTACAGCGATGCCCTTGCGGTAGTTTCCTCTTCGTCCATAGAGGGCGACGCAGCTCCACTGTGAGAGTGTCTCAGTCTCACCTCTCAGCTCAAGCGGCAAGTTGGAAAGAATGCAGAGCGACAGGCTACCGCAGGTTATAAAGTCTCACAGTTCCTGCTTCTGAGCAGGAGATGGGCAGTGCTGCTGCCTGTTGCTGAGCCAAATTAAAATACTGCTCGGAGACAAGTGGCTGGTCGTTCCATACCAGAAAATCAGAATGAGTCTAAGAAATAGTGATTTGGAGATAAGTGCTCTTCAAACCAAGCTGTGAGGGACTTTGGGAAAATCATTATTACATAATGGTGGGGCGAGTGAGGGGGAGAGAAGGGTGAAGGAGGCTGGGACCAGTTTTAACTCAGCAAAATTGTGCTTAGTCACTGAGGCCGCAGGCATTCATGTTGACAAGCAAACACACAAATTCATACATGTGCATATTCTCACATTTAAATATCAAATATGAAGGCTGTTTCAATTACACATGCAAGCACACATATATTATCACACACAGAATACATGAAGCCCTTATCCTTGCATTCTGTCCCACTGATGTCAGAATATTAGCCATAGTTAAATATTATAATATAATATAATAAAAATGTATTTGTCACTCAGCGATTGCAGTGAAATGTGGGCGCAGCATACACAAGAGGATGAGTTTCAAAAGCAGATAATTAAAATAAAAGTGAAAAGTGAAGGTTGGAGGAAAAGTTTTGTAGACATCATTGTAAAACCTGTTACAGCTCCTATGTGATACAGAGGAAAAGCTATCACCTGCCAGCAGGGGCCTCTGCAAACTAAACAACATCAACATCAAACACTGTCGGTAGTTACTGATACTCATATCTGACAAGTTTCCTTTCTTTCTCTTACAAAATAGTCTTGTTGGTTTACTTGTGGACATTTTTTAAAATTCAAATAAATTGCAGTGCAGATCTCTGTAGCAGACAATACACACTTAATTTTGAAATATTTGTCAATTTTTAAGTGAATAATACATTAGTGTTACAATAAATACATTTTGTCTTTCTTTTGTATTTCTATTAAATTAAAATAATTATTTATCAGCCGCAAGCAGCCTACAACTATTGGTATGGGCCTTCGGGGTCTGCACAAACATAAAAAAACTAAAACATGAGTTGGCTAAGACACTTAAAGACAACAGCTTTGATATTAAAATCAGTTTATAACTTAAGAGCCTGCTTTATTAATACCATACAGTTGTAGAAAAATGAACGCATGTACAAGAACCTTCCAGCATATTGCTATATTGTTATTTGTTAACTTCTGCTCATGTATGTATGTATATATATATAAATATTTCATATAATATTCTTATTTATGAAATATCTGGCCTATTACTGTACTTTTAACATCTGTTTATATCAATATTTATCAGTCGATGAGAAACATCAGTCAACTACTACTTGTTTGTGTTCCTTGGTTGGAAGTTGGTTTGGATCATGTCCTTCTCACTGCACTAATGTATCTACTGGATCGTTTGAGTGCCTGCAAACAGGTTTGCACATCAGTGATGAGAGAGCATGAATCTCTGCGTGCCTTAAACCCATTTGCTGGTGAGTCCATGTGTATCAGTTTATCAGATGAAACGTAATTGCAGGGAAGTTGAGTGAACGGAACCAAAGTGAAGGGTACCTGGAACCGAAAGAGTATCACTAAAATCATGTCAACCTCGCAGGCATTTTCAGACTAGACTTATCCAGTATCAGTTCAGTGAGCGTGAAGGATAATCAGGTTAGAGTGTAAGGATGAGATAAAAATGTTAGCACGAGAAGAAGTGAGTAGAGAAAGGAAATACCATATAGATTTACACAAGTTCCTATTTCACTTGAGAGAAGTGCAGAGAGTTCCCTGCACCGAGCGCTTCAAACTCATATCGGGCATATGGGCAGGTGTGTCTGTCAGTGTGCGTGCTGTGTTTGCTTTTTTAAACGAGCGTTTGTGTGTGAGTGAGGATCCCTTGAAGGCAGATGCATGTTTCGAGCATGCGGGCGAGAGAGGTCTCCACAGTACGAGTTTTTTGTGTGTTTGTGTGCGCGTGTGTTTATGCGTGTTTGTGAGGCGAGCAGGCCACGCAGGTTGACAACATTAGTGCCCCCCGTCATGCCAGCAGCACCTGACAGATCGCGTGTGCTGCAGTGAGCACACTTCCTCACCGCAGCAGCCTCTCTGCTGCCCCCCCTCCTCACCCACATCACCATCCCCCCCAACATCCTCTCCTACCAGGGCACAGAAGGCTAATGCACTCCACCTCGCTCCAGGGGCCCGGGGGGCAGACACATATGTGTGTGTATGCGTGTGTGTTTGTTTGATAGATGAGCCACTCTGCGCTTACAGTATCACGCACATCTAAATGGTTTGGTGAGACGGTACAGTCAACCGCTGTTCTTCATCCCCACGCCTATACATCGCTTTCACTTCCCCCTCAGTAAACACACAAGCACACATGCACATCCAAAACAAACAAGCAAACAAACACTACCCTTCCTTTGATACTGCCCAAAGGGCAGGCCACACTGCCAACAATGATTCAACCCGACACAATAGAATGATGGTACAGTACAGTCTCCACAGGCCAAATACAAAATAAATGTTAGAAATATCAACTAAAGGCAAAGCAGTGCAAGTCACAGGGAGAGTGCTGCACGATACATTTGTCTCTCGTCCTGTATATCATAAAACAAATCGCACCGAACATGTGACACTAATCCTTTGTTTGTCTTTATTCTTAGAAATGTGTGCATGTTATGACATAGTCTGACACAGTGCTCCGCATCACTGTGCCAGCACTGGAGAATGGTCTGGCTGCACCCATTATAATTCTGCTGTGGTGGAAAAAAATGCTTTGGCTTGTTTGTATTTCTTTATACCAAGTACAATCGTCTTGGGTGGCGCTCTGAGGATTTAGTGATGGTGCTGCTGAGAAAAAGCATTTGGAAGTTACTGCAAAGAGAATGCTAGAAAAACAGTAAAAGATGCATGTCGACTGTGTGATTACATTTTCCACATGTGGCTCCCGTAATGATGCTGATTTTAAAAACGGGAATGGGCAGTAAGGGGTGAAGAATGTTGCACGTGACTGGCACCAAAGGCTCATACCCACAGTTTATGTGGTGACTAGTTAAGTATTAAATCAAAGAGTAATGCATTTATTGTTGGCTAACGTTTCTAAGTGTATTTCCCCCAATTGTGGACATTTTACATATTAAGTTAAATCAGTAGAATTCTGTTCAAAAGTAGAGAAAAAGCCAAAATGACTTTAATGAGAAGCAACATAAAAAAATTACAGTGCATTACAATACAGGACATACGTACAGTTATATTTATCTATTATCAGTAAGTGCAAATTCTCATGTCTGTTTACATCTTATTCATCAAATTATTCAATATGTATAATATCATTCTGTCCATGCAATATCAATATGTCTGTCAGTATCATATTTATTATTTATTCTTTTACATACTTTCCTTAACATTAAAATTTACATTAGCGACCATGATGCAATGTCATTTCTTCCTACTGTGCATTTGTTTCCCGTATGGTCTGAATGACAATCTTGAATCTCCTAAAGTATTTTGTGTGGTGTTTTAATTTAGTCATAAACACAGTATATACTGTTTGTAGCTGGCAAACTATACAGACTGTCCACGTAATTATAGAAAACATTTTCTTGGAAGCCAAAAGCTACGTGCAAGCTGTGAACAATGAGCAGTGATCACCTGGGAAAAAGGTACATTTTTATCATCTCCGTAGGGAGAACTGCCAGCCTGAGAACAAGTTTTAAAGTGAATGAAAACGTGCCATTCTTCAGTCAGGTTCAGGGCACTGGAAAAACACACTGCAATATTTATTCACTGTTGTTCCATCTTTGCTGGGGAAGTTGGATGTTGCCGCGTTGCCGGTACTTAGATATGTTATTTGACCTTTGAACAGCGAGAATACTGTCCATTATTACATTTTCCCAAATCTGTGGATGTTATTGATCAACAATTATCTGTATAAATCCCAAACCCCAACATCGAATGCACCAAAAATCAGCTGAACTTCCTTGTGTTCATATCATCTCCAGTAAGTCTCTGAGTTTCTAACAACTGACCATAAATATTTGCTCTTTTCGACTTTATAGCTCCACCATGAGTTTGTGAGGAACGTTGAAAACACCTCGGTGGAGAGCTTGATACAGAAACTGGCGGACAGCAAAGGAACAGGAAAGGAGAGACCAGGTAAGCAACAGTGACTTGTGTGTTTTTACTCTAATAACCTTTGTTTGTCAATGCTCGCGTTGTGTGTAAATAAATTAGTGGCCGGGGGGGAACTGGGCCTTCGGCCTGTTCTTGCCTTGTTTGGATGGGAGGGGTGTATAGAGAGGGGCAATTAGAAGAAGGAGAGGGCCATCAGAGTCAATCATAGTAATCTGCTGTAAAGGTAGGCAGGCTTGGCATTCCAGTAAGCATGTGACACACGGGGGGCTTTGCTGTGCTCACAGACTAAGCAGGCAGAACCAACCTTTTCAGGAGGTCAGAGCTCAACAATGACTCTTGTGTAAACTTTGCCATGCCACAATAATCAAGGGAATACTCCTCAGACTCCTTCGGCTCTACACCCTCACCTCCCTCTTTTTTCACACACACAAGCACGGCTCATTCACTGATAGTTGGTCACTCATGTAGTTCACGTAGTAGCCCTGCAGCTTGATTTTAATAGCATCACCAAATAATTAGTCAGTGAAAATCTGTGAACAGTTTAAAGCCCCGTCGTAAATATCCAGTAACTCCACCAGTCCCTGTACTTGCACCGCATTACGTCAGGTCACAGGCACAAAGGGTTCACCTCTGCTGTGTTTGTGTGTACACAAACGGTGACCCCTGTGTCCAGACGCTGCGTCCTAGGAGTGGTAGCCTTCATTTGTTTGGACAGCAGAATTAATTGAGGCTAAGAAACGGTCAGAAAATTCCTCTTGTATCAAGCTGTTCATTAGGGATTGCACAGCAGCCCCGGCCCTGTCAGAAAAATAACCTGTCTGTCCCCTGATTAAATAGCTGAACGGATGGCCAGTCCGGTGCCTTTAGAGAGAGAGAGGTTGAATAAACTTTCTATTGCGGAAACAATCCCAAAGTGACACACTGCGAGGCAGGGGGGTTTCAGAGTGTTCAACGATATCCAGCTGAGCTGTCAACTGGCGGCGGGCCAGACACGCAAACCCCCTCTGCCCCTCTCCCACTCCCAGTGCCATGTGAAGCATATGCAATTTAAAAAACCATCCTCCGCTCATGCGTGACTGCATGCTTCCCTCACAGAGAGTAGAAAGAAAAGAAACATCTTCCCCTGTATAAACAAAGTCGTCTGTCTGTTTAGGAGATGTTTAAACAGTTCCTAATGTCGGCCCAGATTTAGGTAATAGTCATGTGTCTGGTGTTTGGACTTTTTCTGCAGTTGGTGTGCATAAATATTGTCAGATGCAATCGCGGGATGCTAGCGGCAAAGAGTTCCTGCTCTGCCTTGGCCTTACGTGAATTCGCTGCATTTGTTAAACATCCCCAGAGCTTGGACAAAGAATGCAACGCGTAATTTTCCAGTAATTTCCCCCTTTGTGGGTCCCTTTTTATTTGAATTATTTTAGCTTGACAATGCATGCAGCTGATGCATTCAATAGAAATGAGGTGAAATGAGATAATGATAATGAGCTTCCTCTCCAGGAAAAGATACACCTCACGGATTCAGATATTCTCACCTGGTTTATGTCGGCACAATGAGCGAGTGGGGACGGCAAAATTACCACGTCTGCGTGTGTCTCTCTCACTTCCTCCCATGGGAGAATGCTTCTTGAGTGAGCATGCCAATTTTGTTTTGATTGGCATGAAACACTGTCACGCACGCGCACACACGCACACTCAAACAGCCATTCGTGCTCTGCATTGTGCGTTTGCCGGCGGTGAAGAGGCCTGATATTGCACAGTAGAGTAGATCGGTCATTGGTGTACTTTATCCACTTCACTTGGCGTGATGCATGCCTCTCGTGACTCGCCGCTTCCCTGCGCTTCACTCAGCATTGCACACGCCAAACAATGCGTCAATTCTGCTCGCGACTGGCGTCCTCTGGGGAGACTTCATTGGACCACTGCTAATGTATACATTTTGAGTTAAAATATCATTAGCTTTGTTGTTTTCAGGTCAAGGCATGTTTGCGGATCGGAAATATTGCCAGGGGGTCCTCCCCCATCTCTCTCTCTCTTTCTCCTGCTCATCTTGCAAGCTTTCTAGTCATATGCAGCACATGTGTCTGTATCGGGTTGGCTGGCAGGCACAGACTATGTGTCTTACAGGGCATTTGATTCAAGAAAAATTATTTTAAAATAACACTTTAGCAGGAAGTTGTTTCCTGTTACTTGGCTAGATGTAGTCACATAACTGATGTTAATACAGCAATACATTGTTGTGCTGTAGTGCATGAGTGTGTCTTTTAATTTACAATTCAAGATATGGATCACATGCACTAGTGTAGCCATTACACTGATGTGAAAGTGACTTCAGTTGGTTTCATTAAATAGTCATACCTTCTAACAGATAATCACACACTCACACCCAAACCTCCTGGATTTTCCTGACTGACACAGACACACATTGCATGTCTTGCCTCTGGTCCTCTTACGACTCTTTGTATGTGTGTGTGCGTGCGTGCGTGCGTGTGCACGTGTTAGCATGTGTACGTTAAAGTGTCGACCCTTGAAAACCCCCCATAAATGTTTCTGGAGGCACACTTGAAGCGTGCCGGGCCTCGGAGGTAAATAAATAATTGATGAGCATTAAATTAAGTGTAAACGCAGTTGTTTTTGAATGATGTCTCCAAATAACCAAAGCAATGTTATTTTTTGTTAAATCAAATCAATGTCTGGTTGTGTTCCGAGTGATATCACGGTCGTTGGCAGGAGGAGATATGACGATTCGTTGGTGCGGTCTGTTATTTCAGCAGGCTTCGCATGTATGTGGGTGCGTGATTTGTTCAGTTGTTTCTTTTTTTTTCCTGGCCATTTTTTCGCATGCCATAGAGAAGGAGAAAAGGGCATCTCTTAAGCCTGAGAGCAGATTTGTCCATGTGGCTTTAAACACTTCTCTGCATGTAATCTTGGACTTGTTTGTCTTATTGTAATAGGGTTAGTGACTTTGCGTGTCCCGTGTGGGCAGGTTTAGTTTCAGCTCAGTTCATACCTGCTGTTTGCTGTGAGCGGGCACACACACACACACACAGATTTGGAATTGGATTATGATTGTGGTGATTCATTTGTCCCAGGTGGGGTTTTTGTGTGTGTTTCTCTGAGGAAACGTTTCTGTTGTACAGTGGTGCTTTGTGTGCCTTAGAGGGAGTGTCACATCTCTGAGTGCCACCAGACACACAGTTGACTCTGCTATTGACCCTGTCTGCCCTCTGGGACCAGCCTAGCCCTGTGTGTATCTACACTCTGTATGGCACGCCAGCCCTCGTATTGTGTGGTTGCCAGAGTGTGTTTGTGCTGTGTGTGTGTGTGTGTGTGTGATTATTGCGTGATGTACATTCACAGCATTCACAGCAGGGGGCTCTTGACCCTTTCCTTGCCAACTGAACCTAAATGATTTTTTTTGTCTCATTAGGGCCCATTGAGTTCGAGGAGTGCAATACCGCTATTGCAACTGAAGGTGGGTCTAGTTACAAAATGAATACACAATGCAAGTTTTCACAAATACTCTGCAAGACTCTGACATTTTACTGAAGTAAAGTAAAGTTAAAGCTGTTAAACTCCCACATTTTAAATAAAACATCTGATGTGTTTTTTGGGGTGTTTATAATTGCTTTGTTTTCGTATTAAGGTGCTAAACCCAGAAAGCGAAAACCATTCGGCATCCCAGGTCGTAGGAAAGACAAGGACACGGACTCTACGTGAGTCCCAAGACTTCATCTTCAGTCCATCAACACAGTTTATGCAGCTTGTTTTTATTGCTATCCTGATTCAAAATATATAAATATATAGATATAATAAATACATATATTAGTATAATAAATATAAGTTTTATCAAATACATCATTCTCATCATTATATGACTGTTTGTGTTTCAGGGAGTCTACAGAAGTTGAAGCTGCTGTGAGTATAATTTTCATCCAAATAGCTAATGAATGTTTTTTTTTAGGTGACACAATTATTAATTCAGCCTTGTATGTTCTTTTGATTTCAAACAGCAGGACGTTATATTATTATTATTTTTCTTGGTATTTAACTACTTGAACATGTGACTCTCCCACTCTCTCTCCCTCTCTCTCTCTCTGTTCCCTCTTGTTTGTGTTGTAGATATGCTCATTCATTCATTTATTTCTCTCTGTTTGTGCTTGTAGAACACTGCCAATGGCGCTCCCCCCGGATACTATGGGGCCATAGACATCCAGAATGCTGTAAGCAAGCTAATACACACAGAAACACACACACACACACTCACTGAGTAAATATTCAAACCATCATACATAAATAAATAAAAACACTTAATTGACACAAAAATGTGATTTTCATTGGATTTTAACAAAAACATTTCCCTTGTCCTGCATTGCTATTCTTGTGTCCTCTAAATTAACTTATGTAAATGTTTAATGTGAAAATTAGTAGTTGTGTTTGCTTGCACCACTAAGCTCTTGTCTCACACGATTACACGTTTTTTTTCACATGAGTGTCAGCCCAACATTATGTGTTGGTGTGGAGCAGAATTACTGGAATTACTGAAATAAGTGTGTGTTCAGTTTAAAAAAATGTGTGTAACATTTCCACTGTGTTTCACCAGTAATGTTATAAAGAGACTGTATTAACAGGTGAGAGGGTGACTGTTTTCCTTTTATATTTAAAAATTAAAACCAGACCTCCATTTAACGGTTATTTAAATTATATGATATACACTTGACCAAATGACACACTTTGATGACGATGACATTTATTTACTTTAGAAAGAAATCTAAATCTACAATGTTTTAGAAAGTTTGTCCAAAGTTAAACATTTGTGTATGTATGTAAAGAGAAATTAAGGGTTTAAACCATTAAACTTCTGCTGATCAGCAGACTATTAATTATATTTAAATTACATGATTTAAACTTGATGAAATGACAAATCTGGATGAACTAAACTCAAAGTTATAAGTTTGATTAAAGGTAAAAGACAGATAATTAATATGCAAAGAGAAAACAGGTAATTGTTTGCCCTATTTCAATTGTATAATATTCCATGTATATCATCAGAATTTATTTCTTGTCTAATCCTTGATTGAAAATTTCAATTTTAATACATTTTAAAAATGTACCATGATAAGATTAGCAAAATCTTGAGTGTTGATTAATGACATTTTAGTGTGTATCATTTAGCTGCTTTTTATCATAATATCTTATTTTAACTTTGTGTTGATTGAATTGTGCAAATTGATTTTTTTAAATGTCTAACTGGTCAGCTTTTTTTTTGCAGAATGTTCCCCGAGTTGATGCGGAGGGCTTCTGTATCAGACCAGAAGCAAATGAAAATGATATCCTTTTCTTTTGTCCTTTACTCACTCTAAGATTCAGTCCAGCTTCAATAATTAGTGCTGTTTGTTTTTTTCTGTTCACACCATCTGCAGCCTGAGGCCAGGACTTAACACAACTGGGCTGTAGTTGATCTCTCTCTTTCTGTCTCTTTTTTGCTGCTCTGCTGTTGTTGTCTCCTTAACCTTTTCCCTTCTCACAAGCCAAAGAGAATTCCTTCTATTCGTCCAGCGACTCAGAGGACGAAGACGAACCCAGGAAGTTCCACGTCGAGATCAAGCCCGTTCAGCCGAACAACGGCACGCACCAGAACCGAGCCACCATCGACGAGCTCAAAGCCTCCATTGGAAACATCATCCTGTCGCCCTCCACCTCGGTATGGCTTCCGTGGCATTTTAAATAGTAAAACTCCCAAATAAACCTGTTGCTGTGCTGCTCTGCTGCACCTCAAGTCTGCTCTGCCTGTCCAACACTAGAGGGCAACAGCAGAATATCTAACCTTTGTTAGCTTACATGGGAATTCCATTTATTCAACTTAGCTATCCCCCCTGTAGATGTTTGCCATCAGTCACTCTTTCTTGGAGCTTATTTTATTTACAAAGGGGATACGTATGTGTTATGTCCAATTTATTTCACATGACAGATTGACTTCTGATCCAGTACGTTTCCTATTTGCACAGATTTCATGCTGTGTTTTTACCCACAGTTCAGTTTCATGGTGAATAACCTTGGGATCACAGTTTATTTTTAAAGAAAAAATATCAATAACTCTGGGTCAATAATTTTTCATTGAGGGGCTGATGTTGTTGGCCTTTACTGCAGACACATACAGCTCTCTTTGCAGGCGCTTGCAGGGGATGTTTTGTGAAACTACACACACACACACACGCACACACACGGAGAGAGAGAGCCCAGTCTGCTCCGTGACCTCAGTCATGGAGCCCTTCATTCAGCTCCTTGTCCCTCACCATCACTTCAATCTCTGAATCACTCTCCACTGCTCTATGAAAATAGCAACTGCCATTAAAATTTAAAGCCACACTACTGCTTGTGTGCAAACATGCACCGTGTGTGCACTGAGCGGTTGTTGTTGTTAATGGTGTTGTGGAGTGGCTGAGGGGGCACGCTCAGTGTCGTGAATGGGGTCTAGTGGGTTTCACCCGTCGCACTCCCCGGCTGCACATTAAACGAATGTCACGGCATCTTCCTCCCTCTCCCTCTGCCTCTCCCTCTGCTCTCACCACCATTCCTCCTCACTGTTTGTGTTGAACCTCACTCTTTCTTTCCCTTGTCTCTTTTTTTGCTTTCACTCTTTGGTTTTTATTGGATCCCACTTCTTCTGGACAGGACTCTGTTGTGGTTATTTATGAATACTTTATAGGCCTTTTTTTAATGTTTTCTTTTTTCCACCCTTGGAATTAATGGTAACGCTACGTTACAAGTTTATAGAGGATGTTTTTTCTTCCATTTAAGACTCAGGAGGAAAGATGTTCCCTTTAAACATTAGACTTTGTTTCTTGCAGTTTGGTTTTGGTTGTTGTCGTGACTCAAACCCGCAATTACTTTCTCATCCTTAAAGTACAAAAAACAAAAAAAACATAAACCGCTGTTTGTGTGTTTGACTTATTTTCAACTAAATACCAAAACGAATCATTACATAGCATTTAATTTCCTCTCTGTCTGCTCAGATGTATTTTCTGCACCCTTCCCCTGCTTTATATGTATCCCAAAAGTTCTCAATTAGATTTTTTCGAGCATACATCCAAGGTGATGACGAATGTTGCATCATCTGGTGTGAATTACTGAGAGATTTTCTTTTTTTTCCCTCAGTGCTCATTTTTCTGTCTTTTTCATTTCTTCTCCTGTTTGGTTCTCCCTCCACGGTGTTCCCTTTATTGAAATAGCAATGGAAGTCGTGTGTGTGTGTGGCCAGCAAGAGCCGTAATTGAACCCATTTGCCGCTTAGCGCCTGTGGGACTAAACCCTGGCCTCACAGCTCTACGGTGGTTAAACGCTTTTGCTATGTTCCTTAAACCCATTTTGTTTCTTTTTCTCCCCTCCTCCCTTGACAATCCCCCTAACCATTCTCCTTGTACGAAAACCTTCTTTATTGAAATTGATGCTCTGAGTTTCCATTGGGGTTGGTGGCCCCCAAGAGCATATCTCACATATCTTGTGTTACGCAGCGTGACATGGCAGATTTACGTCCCCTGCAAAAAAAAAGGCTCTGGGAAGTTGGTGAAGTTTTGGGGGCACGCGCTGTTTTGTCCTTGACTGATTGTCGTACGGGCGTAGATGCACAGTTTTGCGCCGTTGATTTCTTTACCCTACGTTTAACGTCTGGTATGTGTGAGTCTCCAACTCTGAAGTGGAAAATGCCCTCGGCCCCTGGGAATAATCAATAATATAGTTTTCATTCCCAAAAGTTGCGAATGTTGAAGTGAAGCAGAGAAAAACAGGATGACCTGTAGAATTCTATCTTTATTAACAGCGTGTCGGACAGTTTTAATGCGTCCTACATGGGGACTGATAATTTCTGTCTTGTCAGTCTTTTTTGTTTTGTTCGGGGGAAAAATGAGCCAAGTTTTGGAAAGCACAGATGAAAATTTGCGGTGGGTCTCATGCGTCTTTGATTAATTACTCTTTTTTTGTTTTGTTTTCAGGGACAGATGCGGAGGAACCAGTCCAGTGAGTATTTTCTCAGTCTGACCTCTCTGTATCTCTGTGTTGCTGGATGACTGTAAAGGAAGGAGAGGGGGAGGTCAGCTACGTTTTTCTTGGCCTGGGATGTTTTTAAAGAGGTTGTCTTTAAAAAGGAAAATCCAGAAACTTAGCCAAAATCAACATATCCCTAGAAAAAGTCAATAACTGTTCCTTTCTGTAAATGTGAGTTTCAGGGTTATTTCCCCTCCCCTGTTACAAATACCATTAATTGCATCATTAGCTGTTTGTGTGTATGTGAGATTTCTTTTTATTTATCTTCTCCAAACTGTTTGGTCTGTCATGTTATGTTTCAAGCTCCATGTTGTCGTATTGCACAATTGAAAAAGCATAAAATCCTTGACTATAAATCCAGAAAATATTCTTATTTTTTATTTTATGAGCTGAAACGCTCTTTCTTTTCTTTTTGTTCCAAACATTCAGATTCAGCCTTTGCATGACCATCTATAAATGATATTTGTAATCACATTATGCTGCTGAAACACTCTCAAAGTCAAATTTACACAAGGTAATGGCACTGATAGATGTACTGTACATATGCTTAGGGATCACAGGAGTTTCTACATTAAGCACTAAGGCTCAGGGTCGTGGTGAGTATGTGTTCGCTGCAGTAGTTGCCCTTCAACCCTGCCTTCCCCTCCTCTGTATCTGCCACAGCTCTCATCTCTGTCCCCTCATAGGAGCCTTCACACACAGCTGAGGCAGCTGACACCAGCTAACACCACTGACACTGTGTTCTCTCACTGTCTTATTGTGAAGAATTTTACTGACACATACAGTTATAAATTTAGGTCCTTTCAGTCGCATCCTCTTACCTCTGGTGCTTCAGTTCTGCTTGTGTGACTCTTAGCAGGTTCTTGTAACACTTTAGACAGGGGCACAGAATAACAAAGCAACGCCTGATTTTATTTTTAGTTGCGAAATCACTCCTCCCCCTGTTGTAAAGTGTTACCACCACATCAAAAAACACATTAGCGGGTTGTGTTAATGCTTTTGCAGTGAGGTTTTACTTTATAAGGCATAAATAAGAAATGTAATCTATCTAAAGTCAATCTTACTGCAAATATATTTCTATGATTTTTCGTAGCAGATGGTGGTTCAGTCAAAACCTCAGTTGGGTTTCTGGTTTAAGGTGTGATGTACTTTTTGGCAAATGTCTTTGAATACAAGGTGGTGAAAATCTCCCATGTTGGTATTTTATTTTTGTTTTTTCCTCGCTGTGAAAGTGTATTTGCTGTCATCGCTCTGTGCAGGTCTGTGGGTCTGAGTTTGTGTTTGTTTTGCCCTTGCTGCAGGTGATGAGCTGGCAAAACCCCGAGTGCAAACACCGTATGAGTGAGTATTAAAGGAAAACATCACAACTTTCTTTTTTAACTCATGTCTGTTTAATTGTCAGTGTGCTCATAGGTGCTGCTTTTTGAATGTTTACCTCATCTGTGCACTTGAAATAGTCTTCATTCATTTAACTATCAGAACTAAGATGTTATCATGATAATCTGTAGAATCTGCACCCTTCTGTTCATTTAAAGATGTTTTTGTCAGCCCTATTATTCAAAGCAAGTAATACATGAATTTGAAATCCTTAATTACACAAGTGTGCCATCTCTTTTCCATGAATCTGGGAACATGACGCTGTGATATTGTTGCACAAGCACAGGTGCACGGAGCTGCTGTTGTAACAGAGCAGACATTGTTATTTAATGGAATATAAAATAAAGATACTGTGTGAAAAACAGGACCGTGAGAGATCTTGCAACACCCGTGGTGCACTTTTCCCATTTCACGCTACCTTGCTTGTATTTGGAGCCTTTAGCAAACGCTGCCTATATCGCAGGCTGGTGAGGTGAACAGCTAGATGTGACAGCTTGAAGCAGTTTTGCTGGTGAAGTCACAAATTAAAATTTTTGTGCTTTTCACTATAAGTAGGAAGGCGAGTGCATTTATGTAGTTGTCTAACATTTCCACTCTGCTTTGCGGAGTTACTAAGACTACTCTTACGATCAAATCGTCAATCACTGATCTCCAGTTCCACGGTTTGATGATAGAAAGAAAAGCCCTCTTGAAAATGAAAAAGGTTTGTTTTGACTCACTCTCTCCTCTGTCAGACTGAGCAACAACGACCTTCTGTCTCTGGACCCGTTCAGCCCGACTCCAGCAGCAGGCTCCTCCTCCTCTGTGTCCTCATCAGCAGGTACCATCACTTTGTTTTATCTGCATCTCTGTGCTCATATTGGATGATGCTTTTAATCTTTGCTCTGTAACAGAATCCCCCAAACAAAACATGAACATCCAAGAGCTCACTTGAATTTCGGTCCCGTGAGATTTAAGGCCGGTCACAAAATTATTTCAACTCAATCTGATTTTACGTTTGGCATAACGAGTTTTCCACAAAACAACAGAATAATCTTCTGACAGACAAATGCCCTGAAATAAAGACCGTGGTCAGTGATTAATTCCGAATGTTTTCTGTTGCCTGCTCTCACGTGTAGCCCGTTGAAAACTTTTAATGTGAAACAGCACTATAGCAGCAAATGTTTGGTTTGCAGTGGCGGTGAATGAAAACCGTTATGATACGGTCTAAAAATATTGAGGCTGTTACCAGTGAGATTCAATTGCATTGGATTACATGCATCCATCATTATCTGTGAAACGTTTTGCTTAGATAGACAATCTAAAACAAGCACCAAAGGAATGGAAATACATCGAGAGGCTGAACAACTTTAAATAATCAGAATTTGAGGGTTGATTGCAGTGAAAGTCTGAAGAATTATGACTTAAAGGAGCAACCAAGTACACACTGTTTTTACTCACTCAGTTAAAGGTCCAGTGTGTAAGATTTAGGTGAAAGGGAACTATTGGCAGAAATTGCATGTAAATAATCCTCATGATGTTTTCACTAGTTTGTTTCATCTACATTGTATGAATTGTAGTTTTCTTTACCACAGAAAAGTCCCTTTATGTTTAAATACTTTATATTTACATCAAGGGGACCCTCTCTATGGAGGCCATGTTTTTTACATTAGTCCAGACTGGACAAACTAAACAACTTTTGAGTTTTTATGACAACTGAAGTTCACCACAAGTTCTTTGTCATGTTTGGAAGGAGAAGGTGAGATGAGGGGGTGTTCATCTGCAACATGCAATTTAAACACTACATATCACAAAATTCTCCACACTGTACCTTTAAGGCAGTGATCCAGTCTGTTGATCTCACCAACTCTCTGTGTAGTCACTATGTTGCCTCCCTCTCATTCTTTTTCCAAGCTACTCAATTGGAAGCTTTTCCTCCCAGATAAAAGAACTGAACCAGAATATTGAACCTCAGGGAATTAAACTAGCAGGATTATTCTATCAGTGTTTTGAGGTCATTTCCCCAGTTTGGGCTGTTTCTTGTCTCTGTTTTTTCTTCAAAATCTCCCTTCAGTGTTTGCATTCTCGTTTCTCTAAGCATTTAACTCTCGAGGTTTTCGGTGCACAAAAAGTGTGATGGTGTGACTCTCATGGCTTTACGTGCATGACACCAGTGTTTAAACAGAGTGACATTAGCACTGACCCATTGCCTAGGCTAAGGGTAATCCACAGTTAATTGGCACCTAGTGGAGGTCAGCGGGTCGGCTGTAAAGCCCATTGGCACGTATGTTGTCAAACATTGTCTTGTTGCTGTCAAAGGTTGTGACTTAGAAGTCAAAAGAGCATCAAAAAGTGCCCCTAATAAGATGCGGTGATGGGAATTAAGGCCCCGCGTACAGCCTGTTAAATCTCTGTGTACAGTGGAGCAGTATTACCAGCTCCAAACACACACATGACACATTAAACACATCTAGTCTGTAAGGATTTACACAGATTAAACTCTGAGGCAGAGATTAAAAAAGATTTATTTCTATTATTTTATGCCACATATTGTATCTGTTTATACTGTGTTCACTTATTTTTTTGTCTGTACATTTTATGTTTCTGTTTGACATTTTTTTAACTTTGCTTTTTGTTTTATCTGAATTTAAATCATTTGATGTTGATTTTTTATAGTTTGATGTATTCATTTTAACCTCTCTTGTTAGACCTTGGCTCTGTTTTCCTTTCAATCTCTCCATCTCCATCTTTTCTGATGAATGATTCCGACGTCTTTCTGCCAGAGGCATCAGGTAAAATCTGTGTGCCCCAATAATTTAAAAATGAAACCTTGTGTGAAGAACTCGAAGCATTCATCAGCTGCTGTTTTGCAAAGTATTCATGTTCAATTTTTGTTTCTCCTTGTGTAAACCTTTTAGTATTTTGTGCTTCAGATGCATGTGTTTTAAGCTCATTGTGAGCTGCAGTAGATTCATGTACTCCTCTATGTCACAACAAAAAATATTCTGTAATTATAGGAAATTAAATAACTGTTCTTACTTTGGGATTTTTGTATTGGTTTTTCTAATTTCCACCAGCTGTAATATAATAGCTTAGATCAAATTACTATACAGCTCTGAAGCTATAAAACATAACCACTCACAATGTGTCTAAAACAATTAAATAGGTTGAAAAACACATCATAAACACTCAGAAAAGACAAAAACATCATTATAACTTAGTACAATCACAAACACTACCGCAGAGGTGGTTCATATTTGGTTGAATGCCAAAAGGTTATATATTGTCAGCTATAAGAAGTTCTGCTTATCTTTAATGAAGTGTGTTTTTAAAGCAACATGAGGAAACAATACGAGATCCCAGCAGGACAGAACATCAGAGTTTATGTTGCTGCTTCATTAGTATGAGACTAAACAGCGGAATGATTTCATCTGTCAGGCAGAACAGACAGGAGACAGTTTGACTCAAAGATTTGCTGCTTTATGACTTCATGTCTCAAGGGTTGCTCTCTATACTCTGCTTTGCTTTTGTCATGTTTATCGCCTCTGTCAATCGCGTCACCTCCTTCAGTTGAGACGGTGCCACAACGGGAGCGCTCCCCTCCGCTGGCAGAGAGCCAGCAATCCAAAGATGTCTCCTCTTTCTCCTCATCCACATCCTCTCCGTGGGACTCACCAGAAAACGCCTTCCAAGCATGCAACCCCGTACCGGCGCGTGCCCAGAGCGCCCCCATCACCCTGCCGACTGAGACGATCGACCCCATCAGGAGCCCGGTCGCTGCCAGCCCTCCAAAGAGCGTTGACGCCTTTTCCTCTGTGTCCTGGTCCCAGAGCCAGTGGATCGCTTTCAGTGATATCTTCGCACCACCTCGCCGCCAGGGATCAGGGCCGTGTGTGAAGGAGCTCCAGAGGCCTCAACCGGGCTCTGGCAGGTCGAGTCGCTTCCTCTCTGATGACTCTGCTGACACCTACTGCAAAGCACCGGGCAGCAGAGAGGACAACAACTCCTGCTTCCCGGATGTCTTCACGGGGATTACAGATAGGGCGATGGGTGCAGCTCCACCAAGCAAAGTCTTCAATGGTAACATATACTAATGTCAGAGACGTGTGTTTCATGCCTGAGGTTGGAGTTTGAACTGAATATTTTCTATTTTAATTTGCTTTTGCTTTGATTGTTATTATTTGTTTTATTTTTACTATTTGTTTTGGGGTTTTTTGCATTAATTTCCTGTTTGAATGTTTTTTGTTGTATTTTTCTTTATTAAATTTTACGGACATGTGTTCCCACTCACTGCCTGGTTTGCAAAATGTTTGTCTGTTATTTTATTTTTGTGAAATTTATTTTGGAATGTGTTTCTGTTTCCTGTTTTTTTAATGCTTTTTCTGTTAAGATTTACAAACAAGAGGTTTATGGATGATGCATGATGGTTTTGGCATCTGCTTGAGTGAACCCCAGTTGTATACGTCATGTGAGTAATGATTTTCTTTTCCTGTTAATCTGTCACTAACAAGTGAGACCTTGTTTACCTGTGCAGTGCCATTACCGAATCGACCCACTACCCCACTGACTGCTGGAGCCCTGGTGCCCCCACCACGACCCTCCTCCAGGCCCAAACTCCCCACTGGAAAACTCACAGGAATCAATGAGATCGTGAGTGACTATAACTTCCCTTCATGAGCAACACATGTGCTGTTAACATTAAATTCTAACATTGCAATACCATCCTATATCCCTGACTCCCCTTGTGCAGGTACGACCGTTCAGCCCACCGAAAACATCCGACGCCAGTCCTCCTCCCGCTGCACCACTCGCCCGGGCAGAGAGTTCCTCCTCCTTGTCCTCGAATGCCTCTCTCAGCGCCGGCAACACCCCCACCGTTGGTAAGCATCCTCAGCATCCTCTCTGTATCTATACCTTTTCTATACACACACGTACGTTTTTCTATTTATCATCTTTTTCCTCAGCTCCCCACCAGTGTTCCACATGCCTTTGTCTCTGTACCATAATGTCCTGTTTTCTTCTCCTCCTTGCTTCACTCCTCTCCTTACAGGAGCTGAGCACACCTTTGCTCACCCCCTCTCCTCCCCAGAGCCAGAGCTGCTCTCCCTTTCTCCTTTTTTTCTACTAAGCCAAAGTGAGTCTGCCTTTCCAAAGTCTGGTTTCCCTAAGAGACGCTCCTTTCCACGGTGCTGACAGTCATCATCTCTGCTCTGCATACATTTCACTGATTTTATGAATGCCCGTCAGCTCTTTGTTCATCTCTGTGCAAATCACATCCGCCTTGTCAGCTTAGGAGTCACCTGCCACCACCACACATTTAAGGAGAGGCTTACAACAGCGCTCAGCATCATCTCTCCTCACATTTGTGCTCTCTGGGTTTGTTTATCTCCTTTCCCCTTTACGCCTTTTAATTTGGCGTAAAGAGGATGATGTGTTCATAGCGAAGCTGCCTACCTTTGAGAAGCGCTGTGAAACACCAGCAGGTATGGTTGAAGTTCATACAAGAGAACTCTCCTCTGTATTTAACCAAAACTAACACCAGTGTGTTGAATGGACTGGATCGACGACTAGACAGTTTTTTTTGCTTTGCCGTGATTGCATTTATCTGCCCTCATGTTTCTTACATTTGTGTTTCTATAAAAAGCTTCTAACATTATAAAGAGTTGTTGAGTTGTTAAAATAATGAATGATACAACTGCTACATCTTTTCTTAATTTAAGTTTTCAGTCGCTGTCTGAGGTCATTCTGACTGTCTAATAGAATTTAATTTTGACTAAAGCAGCTGTAGCACGAACTGCTCTCAAACCGTGTCGTATTTCTGTTTATTTGAAAAATAACAGAATGTACTGATTTGCACTGTATGAATGACTGACCGCACAAGATGTAATAATACAAATATTCTTAATTATATAATGCATCATTGCATGATCAAACCTTCCTAATTCTGATGTGAGCTTTGGAGCCCGATGTTATGAAAGTCTGAACTGCAGCTGAGTCAACAGGCCTGAATCTCTGTGCCTTTCTCTTTCTCAGGGACGTCTCGCGGTCCCAGCCCTGTGACCCTGGCATCCCAAGATGCTTTGCCCATTGCCGTGGCCTTCACAGAGTCGGTTAATGCTTACTTCAAAGGAGCTGATCCTTCTAAGTGAGTCTCACATGACCTCCTACCGCTCAAAGGACCCGACGTGGACCTGCACGCATACACATTTTTGTCCATATTTGAACTTAAACAATAACACACATGACGCTATAAGTTATACCGTACATTACGTGGTGTTGTGCTTCATGGTCCCTTGCCAATGTACACTTTACTCAGTAGATCTTTGGCTGCCAATTTTGCAGAGTGTATCTCCCCCTCGCTCTGCATGTGTGGAATGTTTTGCGTTAGTCCGACACCATTCTTTCAGAGTGGATAACCTACATGGGGCAGATTATAGTCTGGGGCAGAGAAAACATACAGCCTTTTATTAGTTAACTGCTGTTAAATTGCTGTGCAAAAAAGCTTATTTTTGCAGGGATTAGCAAATGGAACATTTCATAAGCAATGCAGCAGAGACGCGGTGCAGGGTTGAGACACGCTGTGGGTCGTTAACCACCGCAGCCAAGGACGGACCCCAAATGAAGGAAGACTCTTCTCGTCCCAGAAGTTATTTTGAAACTTGATCAATATTAGTCTATAGAGGCAGACAGATAAACATTAAGACTTACAAATGTGGACATGTGCTAAACCCTAAAGCTAATGTGTTGATCCAGAAGTCCACAACAGGCTGGATGTCTACTTCATACAGGCCTTGGATAGAACTTTATATAAAGAGCGGATTAACAGGCTAAAGTACGATTCATAATAAGACCAAATCTGTCAAGTATGACTTTATATTCAGTTAGAGTGATGAAAAGAAAAGTAGAGAAAAAAATGAAGTCATTTTGATGAAAGATTAATTGTTCAAGTCTTTAAAAAATGCCAAACATTCTTTAGATTCTGATTCTCAAGTAGAGGATTTTATGCTTTTTTCTATTTCCTTTTTTTTCAAATGCTTATTGACTACTTTATGTCTTTTGGGCTGTTGGTCAGACAGAGCATGTGATTTAAGGACATAGCACTAGACCCCAGGAAGTTTTAATGGATACTATGTCCGTGAAGATTCTTAGTCATCCAGATCAATCATCTAAACATCCACACCTCGACACAGAGCACCCCACACACCCACACACCCCACACCCACACACCCCACACCTAACAACCTGCCTGTTAAACGACACAACACAGGTACAGACCCACAGGGGTTAAATACCTGAAACCTCCCATGAGTCACAGAACTGAAGTAGCCTTTTAGATGAGAGGTGACGTCTTCAAGAAACACAAGCAAATCCAGTTGCTTACAAACACATGTACAACTTCTGAAGTTTGATTAACTAATAGAGTATTTGAAACAAAAAAATGCTGGTTGATTTGTGATGAAAATAATCATTTGGAGCCCTTCTCCCTCATGTTGTCCGACCATCCGTCTGTTATCTACACCACTTATCCTTTGAGGGTCAGGGGGGGCTGAAGCCAATTCCAGTTGACATTGGGCGGGATGCAGGTTACACCCTGGACAGGTCACCACTGTATCGCAGGGTTGACATTTATACACAAACAACAATTCACACCTACAGCATACTGTGGGATGAAGCCAGAGTCTCCCCCACGCAGACATGGGGAGAACAAGCTAACTCCTTACAGAAAGACCCCGCCACTGCCCTGCCCCATGTCATCTATGAAGTAGCTCATATTCATATGTCTGAACTCCACAGGTGCATTGTGAAGATCACGGGAGACATGACTCTGTCGTTCCCCATGGGCATCATCAAGGTGTTCACCTCCAACCCCTCCCCGGCCGTCCTCACCTTCAAACTGAAGAACATCAGCAGGCTGGAGCAGATCCTACCCAACCAGCAGCTCTTATACAGGTGAGGAGTCCGGTGAAGACGAACACACAAATACAAACAGGCGCGTGTGCGTTGCATGTAAAGACACTCTCAGAGTTGATGAGTTGATAACTCGTTTGAGTTGCGGTTGAGTCAAAGGGGTTTGGCCCCGATGATACGAGTGAGAATGGAGGAAATGTAGTCTGCGTCAGCGAGAGGAAATTCAATTAGTAATCTGACATAAGCCTATCATTAAGTTGTCAGGAAAGTATTTTCCACCAGACTTTAACAGCCAGGTTCTCAACAGCTCATGTCTTTTCTGAAATACTTTGCGCCCTAAAATAGGAAAGAACAGCAAACTTTATATAACAGCTGCTTCTTTATGTTTTCTCTCACCTCTTTAGTCTCAGTCGAAGAGGTTTTGTGTGTGTTTTACCTCACATGAAGTGGAGTTTCAACGTGCCATTACATTTGTCAGTTCTATTTTCAAAGCAAAGACTTTGTGACCAGTTCATTTGTGAAATGACAATGTTTTCTGTTTCTTTTTACATTTCTCGCTCTGGTTCCCTCACGACCACATGGCTGGCCTAATTGAATTCATGATTTAGTAGCTGCTTGGATATAACAGGGTCATTTTTTCCAAGCTATTGGAGCTTTACGCACAAAGCCAAGAAGAGCAATGAATAATTGAGTCTCTGATAATTCCTGTGTGTGTGTGTGTGTCTTTCTTTACCGTTTGTCTTTCATCCAGTGATCCTTCCCAAAGTGACTCAAATTCCAAGGACTTCTGGTTCAACATGCAAGCGCTGACGTCCTACCTCAGAAAAGCCTCTGATCAGAATCCCTCAGCTTCCTACTACAATGTGGACATCCTAAAATACCAGGTCTGTCAGCCAGCGTCGAGGCGGGAGCGTAATCCAGATAAAATAAATGTGGTTGAAGAATGCTGTCTGAAAACACATTTTCCCCCAAAGTGCTTCACTCCTCAAACGAGCCTGAGAAAAAAGCAAGGGAGGGAGAAATATAGATTAAGAAGAATGTTTTTTTAAATTTGAAATAGCTTCGATAGTTAAAGACAAATGATTTCACAGGATTGTCATAAAGAGAAGTGGTTGCTTATGATTTATTCAGAATGAACTGTATGTATGAAGCTGATCACCAAAATCTTTTACATTTGCATCATATACATTTATAGTTTTTAATTTCAAGTTCCTAATGTCACTTAGTCAGATACTGCTGCAGTCCTAGAGCAGGTTGAGGTTAAACATCTTCCCAGGGTTTGACCACACTGTCACTTGATCTTGTTCTTGGTCCTGGTTTCTTTTTATTGAAATGAGTTTCGCTTTGGTTCTGTTGTCGGCACATGGACCCACTTCATTTGTGTCAAAACATTGAGATTAACGCTGCATGGTTTTATAGGTTCATTGTGGGAGGGGATATTAACAGAAATCACTGTTAATTGTTCAAAATGCTGCTACTGACTGTTCTATCATTCACTGTGCTGCTGTGTTCAGGTGTTGTCTGATGGGATCCATTCCACGCCTCTAAACATGGCTGTGTACTGGAAGTGTACAGACAGTACAACAGACCTGAGGGTAGACTACCGCTATAACCCAGATTCCATGGCCTCTCCTGGGCATCTCACCAACGTACAGATCTTAGTGCCTGTTGATGGAGGAGTCACCAACATGCAGTCTCTACCCAACTCCATATGGTGAGATGTGTATCAGCTGGAGCACAACATGTGTGATGCAGCTTAGTTAAACAGAAGCAGCTTCAAGGAGACATATTCAGGTTCATCATTTTTAATTTGGGTTTACATGATCTCCCTTTTCTGCTGCTCCTCTTTTCAGCCTCTGTCTGAAACACTTAGTTTAAGCTCCTGTCTCTTTAAGACCCCCCTCCTGATAATGCAGATGATGCCGCCCGTGTGCACCGGGCGTAAGACCAGCTGCTTAACGTGCATTATGCAAATGTGGGGCATTGTGATGTCATGTGACATCATTACACCCCGGAAGAATGGGTGGAACTACTGATGAGGTGTTTCAGGAATTGTTTTTCTAGCGGACTTTGTTTTTCTTTTACTTTTGAGAACATCCACGAAAAAACTGTAACACATCATCAAAAATTGAATTGAATGAAAAGTATGTCTCTGCTCTAACTTTAGGAATTCCGAGCAGAATAAGTGTTTGTGGAAGCTGACTGACATCTCAGAAAAGTCTGAAAATGAAGGTATGAAATCTTTTGAATTTTCCACTCTTCCAAATTTGTTTACCAGAATCCTTGATTGTGGATTTTGTGGTACAGCACTGAACCAGTCGCTGGAGTTTGAATGTATTTGTGTGTTTGACCCCAGGTGCTGGATCTCTGAGGGCCAAGTTCGAGCTGTCAAGTGGTCCGTCAAACCCCTCGACCATGGCAGTGCAGTTTATGAATGAGGGGAGCACCCTGTCCGGGGTGGACATGGAGCTACTGGGACCTGGATACAGACTTTCTCTCAGCAAGAAGAGATTCGCCACAGGTATGCCGCAGGCTTGACCATGCATACGTACCTGATTCTGATATAATGCATCAACAACTCAAACTAACGTCCCCTGTGTTCTTCTTCTTTAGGACGTTATATGGCAGATTGCTGAGGTGTCCCATCGCTCTGGTTCACATAAAGAAAATCTCTCTTGACACTCAACTTGGCAACTTTAGCCTCCTGAACCTCTGGATCCACCTGAGCACCACTGTGCTTTTTGCCCAGGAGGCGAGAATCTCACTACAATAAAACAGCACTGAGTATTGAACACTGTTTAAAAAAGAATAAAAGAAAACTAAGATGAGCTTTTCAGGAACTGTGTAGATATGAAGTCGGATAATGCTTTCTCATCAGTTCACTTTTGTATAGTCAGAAACGATTTATGGATTAGATATAAATCTATATTGTATTTGAAATCATAAAAAAAAAAGAAAAAAGTGCACTAACAATCTTTCAGATGCTCATTTTCTGCTAATGTTTGTTCTTCTTTCTAAGAGCCTTTAAGGAATTTAAAACAAAAACCATTTCTGTGTGGAAGAGAAGAAAAGACGTCTCTCCTTTTCCTCTGATCTGTAAATATTAACGCTGAATCTTCTGCTCAACTCTGGCTTTGTTCTCAAATCACTTTGATTTGCTTGTCATTCTCTTCACCTCCTCACAATTAGTCTTTTTGTGTTTTGTATCATGTGCAATGAAGCCATGAAGGTAGAATCTGTCTCACCCTCTCTCACTTTCTTGTGGCACAAGCTTGATCTTTTAAAATAACATTGAAGTGCTTTCAAACAAATGCAAAAAAACATCTGACCTCAGTGCCTCGTCTTAGTCTGTCGATCAGTAGGCAACAAAAGTGCTTCAATGTTTCACCCTGATATGGGTGGTTCCAGATTTAAGCTACATTTCTCTGTGGTAACATGCACAGAGTTTTTTAAACAATCAGCCATAATGGGCTCTGTGTTCAGAGGGTCTTTTTAACATCGATTTTTTTTGTCCCTCTTTGTAAATGACCCTTTCTTTTTTTCTACATTTGAACCCCAAATTTCTATTCTCCTCAGAAACCTTGACTGTAAAACATTGTGTCAAATGTTAGATGCTTAAAAAAAAATCAAAGGACGTTACCCAAAGGTCGTAGCTTTTTCTAAACTGGCTGTGTTTTGTTTTTTTAATCAAACGTTTGTGCCCTATCAATGGAGAAATGTGCCTGAATCTAACTTGTTTTGTAAACTCCAGCACAGTTCACGAGAACAGCACCAACATTGTGCCAGTTGTGTTTTTTACAGCTCTATTCGGATACCGAAGGGAAAATGTCGCCTCTTTTTACAAGCCAACCGTCTTCCAGAAATGAATTTGTCACGTTTGCCTTCTTGTGATTGAGTTTGATCATTGAACTCTTTTGTTTTCTTTTTTTCTGTACTCGTCAGTGGACCTGAACCTGTCACATACTCACTGTGCAGTTATGGTGTTTGAGAACAGTAGCACATTAAGGCCAAATTAACGATTCAAATACCTTTAAACAACTACTCTGCACTGTGTAATCCAGTTTGGTTACATGCTGCGACACAGTGTTGCCATTGCCCTGTAATAGATTGCTGATGGTTCTTGCCTCTCGCACAGTGCATGCTGGGAAAAGCTTCAGCCTCTTGAACAGCACGAGCGCATGTAGAAAAAGGATGAGTGAAAAAGTGTCACGTTTGGCTCTCTGTGCTTAATTGTCTTTTACTAATGGGGGGCTGCTGCTGCTGTTTGAGGCTGTTGTACGTCTAGATGGAGTATTTTATGTTATGTTGTGTGTCGGACATATTGTCGTTGACCTCATCGTCGCGGTGATCTTGAAATTGGTCGACGTGTCGGTATGTGACACGTCTGGAGATGCAATAAGTTGCGTGGAAGCTGTGATTGAAAATAGATGAAACCTTGTAGGAGGCAGGAGTTTCATACGCTGTGCATCATGTGGCCAACTGACCTCAAATAAGATTTTAGGAGACGACAGTTCACATCAGAATTATGTTTAATTGTGTCATTGCTATAAAACTTTTTAACTGGTTTACAGCTGATTTAAACTCAAACCCTTATCTGATTCATTTAATGTCTATCTTGGAAACTTCACAATTCATCATATCTTGCCGGGGTGATTAAATCTATTCATAAATTTGTAATGTTTTTAATGTTTTGTATGATTCTTTAGTACCTGGATTAAGACTCAAGCCTTTAATAATATCTTAGAGACAGACACTGTTGCTGTCTGTTGAGCTTTTAATCAGCCAAATGTGTGAAATGAATGAGTTTATATGAAATCTTAAAATTGTAGCACCAGACGTTTGTACAGCAAAAAAAACAAAAGGTTGCTCTGTGATCCCTCGTAGTCAGTTATGTCAATAGAGTCAAAAATGGACTCCGCAGATTCTGTAGGTATATTCAGTATTGGCAAGCTGGTTCTTGCTGTCCCCGCAAAACTTTCTAAATAACCTTTGAAGGCTCGTTTCTAGGTCACTTTCATTTTCTTTCTTTATATGTTCTATGAAGAGCAACATTTTGTAAATGATTCTCATAAATTGTACATTTTTACCAATATCAGCCACTTTTTGTCTCTACTTTATGATTTCTCATTGTGCCTGTATTAAATGTGTAATATATGAATATATACAAATATATGAAAATGACTACTTCAGGTGTGTTCTGTGTGATTTCTTTAAGCCTTAGAAATAAACAGGAAGCGTGCATAGTGCAAGTCTCAAGGACAGTTATATCACTAAAATGTCTTGATAATTACCACATGTATTGCCTGAAATATGTCTAGAAACGTTCTACAGACCATAATGGTCACTAGAGTTTGGATCCCACCTCTTTATATAGTCTATGGATCCCACCAATTTAATCCCCAGAATTTTACTCTTAACTCACTCACTGAACCGTCTTGCTAAACGTGATCAAGTCAACATTTGCATTTAACTTGAAACACTGCTGTGTCCACCAAAGCTTGCTAAGCACTGTGACTGTAGGGCAGCAATAATAATAATTATAAAACAAATCTTCCTTCTTATTCCACAAACATCTGTCTGTCTGTCTGTCTGTCTGTTTGTGGGACGCACATCTCTTCATATAAAGACACTTTTGTTACTTGTTGCTGCAATGACTTACATCGAGCTGAATGACAGAGCATTTATTTTGAAAAGTTGTAAACTAGGCTCTGAAGATTGTGCATGAGCAGATTTCTGAAACACCTGACATGCACTGTATGAAAACAACAGCAGTTAAGAAAATCATTCAAACCTACATGTCATAAAAAAAACACGTGAACAGAAATAAAAAGCTAATTCAGTTTCACTTTATAAAAAAACATCGACTATAAAATTGCAGATAAACCAGTTGGGATGAACGCAAACAACAAACATAAGTTTGAGGAGTGTTCACTAATGACAAGGAATAATGCAGACGTAGACTTTAGAGCATTAGAATGGGCCCTGAACTATAGTAATAATTGAACTCATGTATAAAATACACAATATTGGTGATTAGTTATATCATCTCTGTTTCAACTGATTAGTATATTCCAATATATATTGCATATATATTGCTCTTTTAGTATTAATGGAATTGTGAATTGTGTTTTTGTCTACATTAGGCAGGTGGAGAACTGTCACAGAGGCCGTAACGTCTACCTGAGTAGCTGCTAGCTCTGAGTTATCATCAAGGGAAGTACAATAAACTTGATCAATGAGTCACAATGACGTGTTGATGTTCAGTTCTTTTTAAAGTGGAATTAATCATCTTGTATTTTTGTCTCTGACTCAGAAAACCACAGTCAAAGCAACAAAAATCACTTCTGTAGAATTCAACATTAACATCTTTGCTTTTGTCTGGGAACAGACATTTGGCGACTATGCTTCACTGGGGCTCGGTGGAAAGGTTGAAACATTTCAAAATCCCACTGAAATGACCTGAATTGACAGATGGCTCTCAGGCACAGAGAGAAAAACAAACGTGTGCAGGACTGAACTGGCCCTTTAAAGCCCTCTAAATCCAACCAAATATACAGATTTCTCTGATGAGATGTTGGAGACCGAAAGGTCAGAAACGACAAGATAAAAAAAAACGAATCTATTGTCAGTTTTTTAGGAGCATAATCCATGTCAAAAGGTTTATGTTAAACTCTGCTGACATGCAGGATGATAGAACATGAAAAGTTTGAATACTACACATGTCAACGTGTTTGCACTGCGAGAACTTCATGCAGTTGCTTTGTTCAGGAGCATGTATGCATGTTTGTGTGCACACGCTCAGCACTACATCATCACCGTGAAGCCTATTTACACACTCGGTCATGCCTTGCGGCCTGAGGACCTCCTTCTCGCAGTTTGAAATACACACCTGACTTTTCACAGCAACATGTGTGAGCCATCAGCGTTGACTCTACTTTTCCCTGTCCGCCTCACTCAGACGAACACGAAGAGATCTTAGGGTCTCTTGTGTGTGATGTTATTCTCTGAAAGGCCGGAGTGAGATATGTGAGCTGAGGTCATATCCAGAAACCGTGCCGCTCCAAGTGTTGGCTTTTGTGTGTGGCCGTGCGTTTTATACGACTTGAGTGTGTGGATTACACAGGTGAGCAGGCTAATGAAGAAAAATTAGATCATGCAAGTTTTCAGTAGTATATTGGGAAATACACGAGTGGATCAAACTACGTGCACATATGTGTGACTGTGTATTCTTGTTTCCTTTGGAATGTGGAGAAAATACAGATGATGCAAACAAAATGTATGTGTTTAGAGCATCTAAGCAACACAATGACACCTCTTTCCAATAATTCTGAAATAAGAAAGAGCAAAGAAAAGCATCCGGTGTGACATGTGCTTATAAATAATTCAAATTGTCTGCAGGTTAGTCATAAAAGTGTTTGTGTTGGAATTTGGTGGTAGGTGCTTTTGGTGGTAGGGTAACAATGAAAACTGGGAAACCACCAGCCAGTTCGAAGGTAAATAAAATAAAAATACAACCACAAGTTGAATTATTAACACATTATACCTCATTTGGTTAATTCGTACAAAAAACATCCCCTAAAAGAATAGTTTGACATGTTTTGAAAGACATTAGTTCTTTTGTCAACAGTAACATGGGGTAATTAACACCACTCCTTGGTCTTTTTGTTAAATATGAATCTTGAAAGAAAATTAATATTTAAAAAAAGGGAAACAACCATAGCAAAATATAAAAAGACCTATATGAAACAGCAGTGCTAAAGTTAATTAATTTACAATTTATGTCTCTACAAAGTGTAGAATTATAAAAAATAATAAACAACAATGAAGTTGTGGTTTTAATTGTGGATTGGACATGAGCAACACTAAAAAACTCTAAGTACACATTCAATTGTGCAAGGTAGCAGCGTTCAACTCCATTTTGACCATGCACATTTGAGAGTTGTATCGGTTTTCTCCTCTGACTCTTAACAAAAAAGCAAATATCCGTATATGTCAATCTCCTTTAAGAGGAACAGAGGAGATTGTGGGGTCAGGGGTGGTCGGGGTGGCTGTGTCTGGTATCGATTGATAGAGTCTGAAGGTCAGAATCAGCTCCGTGAAACAGTCTCGGAGCAAAGGGAGCATTTCATCTTTGTTGTCCACCATCACAGTTGTGTTTGTCCAACGGCCCACAGGAGCCATAGAGATGAGTTATTCTACGATCCAGAGAGCAAGGCCCACATCAGTAACATTTACGGACAATTTATAATTAATGAGCCCATTTGATCTCCCTCTTCGCCGCAAGAAAAACCATCTGAACAAACAAGGATGGTGTAAGTTTATTGCATTAATATGGATCCCTCTCCTGTGCTTCTGCTGCTCACTCCAAAACCCAGAAGACCCCTTTAGAATAACTCAAACCCCGAACATGTCAGACTCACATCCAAAAGCATCTGTCACATTTTCCACTCAGCAAGCAAACCTCTGTCAACCGTTTCCCCCTGGCAATAAAAGTATGAACACAATTCAGCGTTAACTAAACTGTCAGGAAATATATCACTGTGAAAGGTCTGTAGCCTCCCTGACACTGGAAGATCATCAGCTTTACAACTGATTGATCACTCAATTCATATTTAACCTCTCAGTCTTTAGGGAATCATATTGTGATTCGCCCTCGAATAAAACATCTAATAACTCAGAAATAAAACAAACAACCAGTCAAAAATCCCTCCTCCTTACAGAGGTCAACTTGAGGATGGGTGCAGGGACTAAGGACCTGACATTTTACCTCACAGTTTCTGTTGTAGACTTTGAAAATGCATAGTAATCAAGTCATCAGAGCCCTCGAGCCATTATATGAATATATAAATCTTTGAAATGTGCTCAAAACATACCTCTTTGAAAACGTCTTGCTGTCTGATTCTATTTGTCTCCACAACAAAGTAGAACTTTAAAGTAAAATAAGCTGTTTGTGAAATATAGATGTCAATATGCCCTGCAGAAAGAAACAACCTGACCTCTGCAATGAGATTTGTACTCGCTAAGCCCCGTCTCCATAGGGATACCTTCATTCCGAAAGGGTTGTACCTTTATATAACCTGAATTTAAAGTTAACATGTACATTTCAAGTGTGTAAGCAGCTTGAAGTAATTAAATCATACAATCTAACTGGCTCGTTTCATAGTGAAACCTGTACATCAACACGCAACGCATCCATGACAGAGTCAGGTGCTATATGTGAGTGTAATAAGTGTGATCTTCGTGCCAAATACAAACAGACATAATTACTTCAGTTATATATTTATGCTTTTCTCTAAACCACTGCTGGGAAGGTGACATGACCTCACTGGAAGTAAAAACTGAGATCCAGTGACGAGTCGCTCAGAGTCCCATCTAGACTCTGCTGCCTCGTCAGCCCTGGGGAGTGGGAGTGGACCCTTCCGTGCCATGTTCACAGAGGCACGTCACAGGCTATTTGTCATGGCAAGCGTGTGTGTTTGGGGGGGAGGGGATGACTGAGAAATGGTCACATCTTAAATCCTATGGTCGTCCCTTCGGTCCTTCTTTAATGGGCCGGCAAGAAAAATCACAATGTTACTGCTCGGTTTCTCTTTGAATAAGAAATAGAGGCACAGAGGTTCCTTTTGATTTGACTACAGCTAAAGACCATGTCAAATCTAAATGGGAGAAATCAATTCAGATTCTTTCTAGTCAAGTCAAATCAATAATAAATCAGTTCTTTGCCTCAGATTTGGAGATCTCTAAATGTACTATTTATCCTCAATAAATTAAAAACTATATGTGACGTGGAGGATTAATGCTTTTCTCGTAAAGACATGAATGCGAAGAATATATGTACAGTGTTGACTGAAACAGCAATAGAAACATTTTAACACGGAAAATTAAAACACACAGAGGGAGAGAGACAAAGACACCATTACCCCGAACAGAGAGAGACAAGGACACATTAGAGAGAGAGAGAATCTACATGGACATCGCTCACACAGCGGGAGAAGAGACAGGGACACTGTTCACACAGAAGAGTCCAGTTCACACTGAGCGAGACGACTCGAGGACACCGGTCACATAAACACAGATAGACAAGGACAGAGTGCACACGGAGGGAGAGGGGACAGGGACGCCATGGACAAAAACAGAAGAGATGAGGACACCATTCCCTCAGAGAGGACAACACAAGGGCACCGTGTCCACAGACTGACATTGAGGCTTTTTACACAAAGGTGACGCAGTGGGAGAGAGGAAATAAAAGCTTCAGAGACGCCAAGAGGACAGATCGATGGATCTGGGAGGAACATCTTTTAGGCTTTATCGAGTAAAGCAGATGAATGGATGTGGGAGGAGTTCCTCAATTTCATGGGTGTCTTATCATTAAGTGGGCGTGGCATCATCATCATCACCGTCATCATTTATAACCTTTGTTGTCTGAAAACTGACATGTTGCTGCTTCTGGTTTTTAATCTAAATACTCTATACTTGTCTTGTGTTCAATTATTCCTGTCATTAGTGAGTCCTCCTCAAACAGTTGTACAATATACTGCCACTTTTTATTCTTTGTGTGCTGGATGTTGAAGAAACAGTCTATGGTGCGGAGTGAAGTTAAAAACTTTGAGTTCATCCTGCCTGATTTATCTAAAAATAAGATTTTATAGTTTAATGTTTTTCATAAAGTGAAACTGAATTCGCTTTAGTGCTGTTCGTGCGGTTTATATTTAGTTTGAATGATTTACTCTGAGGGCTGATATACAAACCACACAATCTTCAGACTCAAGTTCACAAATTCAAAATAAAAGCTCTGTAATTCAGCGCCCTGCAATAATATGTACGTTGTGATTTTACTTTGAAGACAAGGGGAAGGGATTCTCTTCTTGCTGCCGTGACAGAGATCAGTACCTGTGACACCTGTAACTGTGTCAGTCCACAGACAGACAGACAGACAGACAGACATTTGTGAAATTAAAAGGTAAAAGGTGGCAGAGCTGAAGTCAAATGAAATGAAGCATAGTCCCAGGGGATCAATACATGAGTCAACAGGAGACACAGACACAGCTCTCCTTCCTCCCATAGAGGAAATGTTCAGTCCATAAATATTTGGAGTTTGCTAATTGAAAGAATGTGTGCAGCTTCACTTCTGGGGGGTTCTTTAAACACTGCACTCATATGGATTCTTTGTATAGTTACATGTCCCTTTGTTCATTAGTGCCAAGTGAAATGAGCTGAGTCTTTGGTAAACAACCACACACACATACACACATTTTTGTCTTTCTATAGTTGTGAGGACAGGTATTGACGTAATGTATTCTCCAGCCCGTTATCCTAAAAACGAACGAGCCTGTCCCCAAAACTAACTGTACCTCTAACACTAACCTAAACTTCATTCTAATCCTAACTGGGCAAAATGTCCTCACAAAGATGGTTTTGATCCACACGCACACACAGGTTTGGTCTGGTCAACGACGGACCCTGTGTGTGTGTGTGTGTGTGTTTGAAGACCTTTTGTTTGGCTTTTCCATAAGCTGCACACGATCCATCCTTTCCAACTGGCAGGCTGGTTTCATGCGATGTGGATGTGCGGATGTGCTTTTATAAATGCAAGCTGTCCACTGGGACCCGAGCAGACTGCTCTGAAATTCAACTGAAAAACATGTTTGCATGTCACCGTGTTTGCATTCAGAATGAAAAATTCATGAACATAGGTGTTTTTCTACTGTAGCACACAGAGTCACGTCTGGCTGTTCGGCAGACTGCTCTGCTGAGGCCTGAGACACACTAACTATTAATACATGAGGTAATACTGGAGAAAGAGGACTGGCAACTGCAATAAAGATGAAATGACACAAATAACTCCCAGCGGTTATATGTGTCGTTTATTCTTTAATTATCATTATTACCATGATGATTTGGTTGATACTCTCCAGAATCAACCGAAGCAGATTGGAGGTCAGCAAGTCTCCAAGATGCAGGTGCAGCATTGGTTGATAAAACTGATTTGTCCTGACATTTGGGGTCGAAACTGATAACCACGATCATTTTGGTCGATATAATCGTGACACAACATTTTCCCACTGTTTCATCTCTAAAGCATAACATTTCCATAAGAGGAGAGTTAAACAAATAAAGGGAAAGTACTGCCAACACCTTTGTGTAGCTTCTCATATGAAACTTAAGCCTCACACACTCTTACCTCCGACACACCCTGGCTGGAGTGTTGAGGGTCTTTCAACAGGACGCCTGCGTGTTACTTGTGGCTTTCACTTTGTGTGCAGCTCATTTAGCCCCTGACTGTAACACGTATAGCGTGATGTGTTTTTAAGCCCTTCCATTTAACATGCTAGACTGATTGTTCGTACTAGTGCAGCCATGAGCCGTCGCTGATATGTTATGCATAACAGCGCAGTCGGGAGACGTGTCTGTGTGAAATGACATGTGACAGGATGGATTTCGGATCGCGTTCTGTGCATGCAGGAGCCTCCCTCTCTCCCCTGTTCCTCAGCCTCTCAGACGGGCCTGAAACACACCAAATCTCCTCTCATGGCCTTTTTACTTCACGCCATGCATGTCTGCAGTTTGGTTTCACATACCAGACTGAAATATGAAGAAAATAGAAATAAATTGCCGGGCTTAATCTTAAATCGTGTAATCTTTATCACATTCTATAATTTCCTTCCATTTACTCTGCTTTAAACTGCCCCAGTTTACCAACCAGCTGTCCTTTGTGAAGACAGACATTATTTAACATATTGTCCGCAAGTTGTTTCACACATGCTGAAATAGAGAGGCTGCCATTTGACCACAGTGACCGACCCTGGTGCCGTGTTTTCTCTGGAGCAAGTTTACTTCTAACTGGTCTTCTTGGCAGCGGAGAGTCTGTCAGTGTTCACCCACTCTGCCTCTGTGTTCACTGGAGGAGGCACAGTGGCCCAGTTTCAGTGTCCGCACACGTTACTCTACAGAGACCTCGAGGTTTCTGGGCTGACATGGTGGGACAGGGGCCTGGAATGGAGACCGGCAGTGATAGAAATCCTGCAGAGCCGACGCACCTGCTCCACGCCCTCGCCAGTCAGACATTTTCCTGGATGTGGAAAAGGCTGGAATTACCCTGCTGTTGTCTGGAGTCTTCCTGGCTCTGGTCGGTGTCGCATTCACTGCCATGGCCTGGCAACGCTACCAATCCAACTCCAGCTTTGAGTGGACCCAATTGCTGGGGCCAATTCTGATCTCTGTCGGGGGCACGTTCATGCTCACCAGCTCCTGCAGGCTCAGCGTCACATCCTGCTAGAGCTGGACGAAGAGGCGCTCGTGACGCCTGTGATGGAGCGGAGCTCTCTTGCACATTAAGTTGCAAAAATCCACCCATCATGCTGCACAGTGCCACAACAATGCTGTGTATTCCACCTCCCTATAACGTTTTTACCCAAGATGTACGACAAACTATTGATTTCCAGGTGAATGCAGCCCTTCCTCCACGTGACTCTTTACTTTGTGGATGATGCAACTTTTACAGCAGAGGAAGACAGATCAGAAAGCAGAGGATGCAGGCAGGGCACAGTAGACATCCCTCCATCATTATCAAGCATCTAACACAAAGTTTCAATCCTGCTAAGTTCCTCTATCACGTCATCATTCTGCTGTGTTGAACCTGCGATTTAAGAAGTCCTGCACCTGCATTGGTTTAGGGTTGATGGAGTTAGAGGGGTTAAGGCTTACGCATTCTAATGCTGCTGAGTTCCTCCGTCACTCAAACGTGTAGTAATGCATCAGTTTCAGGTGCACAACTTCAGGGAATGCATTCCAAGTGCTGGGTTCTTCTTTTTACCCAGCATGCACCAAGTCGAAACCGTGGAGCAGATTGGACCTTGCCTCCGATGCGAGTGTGTGAAAATCCCACAGCGTCTCACAGTGCTCATTAGAACAGACACACTGTGCCAGAGTTTAGATCTATTTTCACTCAGCCTCAAGTGTTTTTGGCCGTCACTGCTCCAATCAGCCAATTATAGTGCAATTAATCTTTATAATAGCTAACACAGTTAAGTGAGTGTATTTTCACAAAGTAACAAAAATAAAGCTGGATTATTTTAGTAAAGAGGAGATGATGAAAAGAGAGTCATCAGTTTAACATTTTCTTAAAATAAAATAAGCCTTTTGTCAATAAAATGGGGGAAAATACTCCTCATCTTCTCATTGAAAACCCTCCAGAGATCTGACATATGATCGATGTGCATACACTGTATGTGCTTTGTGAAGGAATCAAGTGCATTTTTTCTGTGAATCATATTTTCCCACCTGTTCCTGCAAAAAAATGCTGAGGGGAACGTAACTTTATGCACATTCATAAAAAAATCAGTTTCTTACCACTAATTGCAGGATCCCATTTATTTGAAATCCAATCAAACGTCCTCTGACAGACGTCTTGCGATACCAAATAAAAAAGAAAAGCTGCATTCCATTGAAGGAAAGTTACAAGTTTTCACTTTTCTTTTTATTGTTTTTAGATGATTACTCCCAGCAGGTTTCCAGGAAAGTAATTCACTTTAATACAAACAGACAGCGGGAATAATACAGTTAACCTAGAGTAACTATAAACTGCTGCCCCGATCATATGAACACATGCTCAGCTCACCAGCTCTCACTTATGTTGTCACAACTTCTGACCTGCTGCAGCGTGTTTCCAGTGGTTAATGCCAAATAGAGGAATGATCAAGGGAGAAATTGCTCAACCTCAGTGTTTTCTTTTAAAGGCCAATCTGCTCCCTGAAATGTACTTAAAGCAAAACCAATTGGGGCTGTAAACATTTGGGTATTAGCCAGATCTTCTCTCAGTGTTATTCTCCTATGATAGGACTGAGGGGACAGAGGGTGGAAGAGGATGCGGTGATGACAGCAGCTCTACACGGCCCCCGTCCACCTGCTTATGAAAACATCTATCCTTCCTTTAACCAACACACTCTGCAGTAAATGTCTGCGGAAACTTGTTCTGGACATAATTTCTTTGTTTTTTGTTTATGAGCTCAAGAATCAGATGTCAGGGTGATTTGAAGATGCCCTGCTATAATAAAACTTTTCCCTCGGCAGCACACTGCAGTTTAGGTTTTCCTCTGACACATAGAGTTACCAATATAATTATGTATGAAGTCATAAAATCCACAAAGATGAGACTCCCTGCAAGAAGACCTCATTAAAATGGAGATTTATAGACACACTCGCCTCTATCTGAGGACTCCAAGCTTTTGGAAACTTTGAGATACTAAATTTGCATTCAGAAAAAAAACACAGACACACACATGCTTCCACATCCAGAGCTCGTTGTGTCTCGATAGCTTCACAAACCGCTGTACATGCCCAGTGAATGTTGGACAAACATGGAGACAATTTACCAGAGATGCTTCAGAAAAGTCAAATGTTCTACGCTGGAGAAAATTAACTACAAAATAGGAAAAATGGTCATAATGGTTGTTTTACATTTGGTTACAATTGTTCACATGTTGGCAGAATTGCTTGTATTTGTGTGTGGCGTTTAAAGACACTGTGAAAGTCAGGATGATCATTGATAATAGTAATAGTAGT